TTTTTGACTTCATAAGTTATTTTTTTGTTATACAAAATGTACATTTCACATTCACAAACAGAGAGGTTGAGGATAGCACAATGGTCACTTAAAAACGGTTCCCCACTGGACTCGAACGTCCTCTTTGCTACAGAAAAAACCTTCAAGTTCTTCTATTTCTCCCATAATGAATAGGCTAAGGTAGAAAAACACAACAGCAGTGACTACTTTAACATTATAGCAACTTCAAAACGGGAAACCTACAGTCGGACTGAAGGGACAAAGCAATCTTTCAAGTCTAAGCGCCTCTCGTACACACCAATCCACTCCCATTTATTTACAAATGTAGTGGAGCTAATAAACCATCATGAAGGACCCCCCGTCCTTAGACAACCACTCTTTAACAGCGTGTCCAGTTTAACTACACGACAGTTGAACCTGAGTTGATGTGCAGCAGTTGGGTGGCACAGAAGGATGAACAAAATAAATTATATATTCATTATTTGACATTCATCTAATAGAAAAGGCTTAATGACAGGTAGCAGGATGAACATTCAACATATATTCTGGTGCCCCGTTCATACTTTGCCTTGACATGTTCACAGTTCAACACATCCAGGCGATGGTAGAGGAAGTCTGGTCAATGGAATTTTCTGTGTTGAACTGGGTCGAGTGTTAAGACAAAGCTTAGGTGGCGACAGGACAGTTTTCAAAAAGTAAATAAATAATAATAATAAAAAAACAAAAAAAAAACAATAAAAAATTAAATAGAGAACAAGTAAAAAAAAAAACTGCCAACTGTAAAATAGCTTATACGATGGAAGAACAGATGCAACTCGGTGGCTACAACAGCACATAATGACATGTATCACGATACATCATTTTCAAATTAAATTATTTGTTTCATGGAATGTACAGGAGGAAAAATGCACCATATGAACTTCAGGTAAATGTAAGTTACTGCTGCTTGTGAGAGGAATGTAGATAATAATTGTCAACTGCAAAAAAGTCCAAGCTAAGATGATAAATAGCCCCAGGCAGCACAATGGCACATATCAAGAGACTTCAAAGAATAGTTAAACATTTTAGGAAAAACACTTATCCACTTTGTGGCTGAGATTTAGATGAGAAGACCAGTACCACTCTTGTGTCTGCATTCTTAATATTAAGATAACCCCAGCATGCGGTTAGCTTAGCTTAGCATTACGAAGAAAACGGGGGAAAGCTAGTCTGCCTCTGTCCAAAAGTAACAAACTCCACCTAAAAGTAATTTGTCAAATAGTCATTTTTACACGTTTTTGTGCAGATTAAACAAACAAAATGTAATATGTTAATTAGGTGAGCTGTAGAGGTGCTGGTAGGATTCTGCTACCTTTGGTCAGAGCCATGCTAGCCGTATTCCCGTCTCCAGTACTAAGCTAGGCTAAGCTAATTAATAGCTGCTAGCTATAGCTTCATATACTGTACAAACTTGAGTGGTATTAGTCTTATCATAAGTGAGAGTATTTCCCAAAATGTCAAACTACTCCTTTAACAATGGCTTCCTCATCCTGGCACTGCACAATTTCCAAATGAACTTCTTTGGATTCAGTCAATCACATGAACACCCTGTTTTATAAAACAAGGACACATATTCCCACGTTACACTCAAGCCTAAAGCAAAGCAGTGCTACTCCAAAACTCTACATATCCATTATACAGGGGGAAAAAAAATCATAAAACCTAAGCAAATAAGGGATTAAGTCATTCATTTAAAGCATGCCGTTTGTTTTAATTTTATGCTATCAATCTTTTTTCTTTATTCTCAGCTTGGAATCAAACTTCTCAAAAATGTCTTATTGATCGTTTGAAGTGTAAGTTTCTCCTTCCCCCAGACTTCTTCTCATCTCCTGCATCTTAACCCACTGTGGCTGGCTGAGCAGTGCAGCCTGTATGAATACAGAATAATAATGGAAGAAAGGGGTGAACACTTACATATGCACATTAGTTTCTGAGGCCACAACACGAGACAAACTGAACTCTTGACGGTCCATTTTCTTTCTTAAGTCCAGTCAAGATGAAAAAAGTGCAAAAGAAAAAATGACTGGTTTTGTGTCTGGCCTTTAGGATTTTTGTTTCATTTCGTTCCCTTCTTTTACAATGAAGCACATCTTTTAGCTCTTATGCTAAATATCTGGGATGCTAACAATTGGAAAGGAAAAACAACCTAATAAATAAATATGCATAGTTACTGCACATTTACAAACAATAACATCATCACTATCTCTTTGATACATTACAGTAAAGTAAAGTCACTCCATATAAAACAAACAGCAGTGTAAACCATTGCACCCTCGCTCATATTCCCAGGCCTACAATATGTCACTGCATGCACTGACACACAGTAAATCACTACATCCAAACACAGTACATATCATTGCACGCAAACCTGTCCCTCTCAAGACAAACGTGATCTGCATCAAGCATCTAAAGCTTATGAAACATGCAAAACATGTCAAAGCAAAAGGAAGCTTTCAGTTTTTTTTTTGTCTGTGGAACTTTTTTTCAGATTCACTTTGATTGTATTTCATGATTTTTTATTAATTTTATTCAATCCTCCCTGCTGCAGGGAATATTAGCCTCTTCATCATTACATGTATCATGGCCCCTTGGTGAGTAATGTGGGTCAACCTAAAGTGCGACTACACTGATGTACAAGTCATTGAATCTAATGTTTAGTCATAAGAAATTATTCTTCACATTTTTAGAGACTCTAGCTAAGTTTGAAAAGTTATTTGTGATAATGTTGCACCTAATATTAAAAGATGGCGCCTTGAGAGTGACAGCCTGTAGCTCCTGGGTTTTTAATTGTATTGAGCAATTTTTTTTGTTATTTCTATAGTTATCTTTCCTTGATTAATTTGGAATACCACTCAATATGGCATCTAAGCATTTTCAGTATCTTTTGATTTTCATCCTTCTATAATTTGACAATTTTGAAATTCCACAAATCTCAAGTTTCCCACTGTTCAATTTAGAGTTAGATGCACAGTTTGATAATACTCTCCTATCTGTGCACTAAATACGGAGCTAAAGCACACAGACAGTTAGCTTAGGTTAGCATAAAGACTGGAAGCAGGGGAAGTAGCTAACCTAGCTCTGTTAAAAGGTAAGAAGTATGCTTAGTACCAACAGCTTTAAATCTAACTAGCTATAATAAATCTGGAGAAACTCAAGTGCAGATACATTGTGTTAATTTAGAGGTTTTAAAGAGCCTTTTTTCAAAGCTTTATACAGCTAACCATTTCCCGCCAGTCTGCATTTTCAGTCTGCTAAGCTACAGTTAGCTAACAGTTGGCTAACCTCTAGGCTCCTATAACCAACAGATATGAGAGTGGCATCAATCTTCTCATCTAACTCTTGACAAAGAAAAAGTGAATAAGTGCATTTCCCAAAAATGTTAAACCAATCTTCTAATAACTCATGTGAGCTCGGGAGACCTTGAGAAAACTGCTAACTTTTCCACATTTTTGGACTCAATATCAGATTGAGTGACTTGTAACAGTTAAAATTTTCTTTTTGTGCACATGTTAAATGACTAAGCAATTTTCATATGAAACTTTGTTCATAAACCATATCAAACTCTGCCCCTTCTGCTGATCCATACAGGCTCAGATCCCCTTATGACGTGTTCTACCCTAACAGTAAAACAGATTCCTTATCAGTCTTGCTACTATGAGGTGAATAACTTCAAGTCTTCATCTTTTTCCTTCTGCATCTGTAATCTGTCCAGCAAACTGGAAGCAGATCTTCAGCAAAATAATCCTTCAAAGCCACACTGTGGCGAAACGGAAAACGTAGCTGACCTGTCAGCTCCGTCAATGGTCAGGAAATGAAGGAGGTATCTTTTTTAATAAACAAGTTTGACTGTACAGTACGAGGGAAGAAGAGGGGACTAAAAGAGAGGGTAGAAAAAGGAGGAGCCAGGTATTGTACAGCAATACAAGAGAGGTAAGGAGAAGAAAGGAAAAAGAAAGAAAGAAAGAAAGAAAGAGGTCTATTTTTCACTTTGGAAGAGCATTCATCTAATTTAACTTTCACATCTCTTCAGAAGTTCAGGAACAGTCATTTCACCCATCCTATGGAGCTGATGTCACTCATACAGCGGGGAAAATAAGTATTGGACGCGTCAACATTTTTCTCTGTAAATATATTTCTAATGGGGCTATTGACATGAAATTGTCACCAGATGTCGGTAACAACCCAAGTAATCCACACATACAAAGAAATCAAAACATATACAGTATGTCCATAAATTCAGTTATGTGTAATAAAGTGAAATGACACAGGGAATAAGTATTGAACACATGAAGAAAAGGAGGTGCAAAAAGGCATGGAAAGCCAAGAAACCAGCTGAAATCTCTCAGTATTTAGAAAGCAATCCTGCCCCCTATCAGTGCAAATTAATATCAGCTGGTTTAGTCCTAATTGATGGCCTATAAAAAGAGTTTCTCATTACCAAGGTGTCACACAACGGGCATCTCATGATGGGTAAAAGTAAAGAGCTCTCTCAAGACCTTCGCAACCTTATTGTTGCAAAACATACTGATGGAATTGGTTACAGACATATTTTTCTAAACTTCTGAATGTTCCAGTGAGCACCGTTTGTGTGGATTACTTGGGTTGTTACCGACATCTGGTGACAATTTCATGTCAATAGCCCCATCAGAAATGTATTTACTGAGAAAAATGTTGACGCGTTCAATACTTATTTTCCTTGATTTAACAGGCCAAATCATTTATTTTGATTTATGAAGCAAATTACTGTCCTGTAGTTCCCCTGTGCAGCCAAACTGGTGTCTGACCAATCCTGAACTCCTATAGAGAAAAGAACCATCAACAAATTTATATGTTCCACTTGACCTTGGTCTAAAGAAGAAAATAAAAGTGCAAACGGCAATGAGGAAACCGAAAGGGGATTCTGAGTTCAGGACTAACCAGTCCTGTTGGTTTGAGACCTTCAGGCCCTTCAGGGTCCTTGAACGGCAGCATCTCTGTCAGGCTCTTCAAGGCTGACGGTTGCCGTACATCAGCGGTATGATGAAGACTGAGATGTCGTCTCCAGAGCCCAGGCGCTCGTTGGTGATCCTCCAGCCTCGGTCCCTCAGCACGCCACGGGCTCGCATGACCAGGTCCTGTGCTGCCATCGTGTACCTGGACAACAGAGGAAACAATAATGAAGCTTTCAATTCAGAGCATGTAGGGTCCTTTACACTGCAATGTTTTTAGTTAATTTGATAGTATTATATATTATATCATTTTATGCTGTCTGAAACATGATGCCACTAGAAAATGTAATTACACCCTCCTTGAATGTAGAAGTTGATGGCCGCCTGTGATGTGATTTTAATATTCTGTTGATACAGTTCATGTCTGTAGACTTTAAATTATGAGAGTATACTTGACCCTCAATGGTGTGCCAAAATTTCTGTCAAAAAGTGCCATTACGCTAAGAGCAAGTGGCATGTGGCCAAGGTTGCAATTTATCCTTGGAACAGGAACTGTGCCTGTTGAATAAAATATGCAACACAGTGGCACGGTTGCAGCTTTCACATTTGGCATAATAATGCAGCAAAAACAGACACATGACACAGACAGAATCTAAGTAACAAATCTGTAATTGAAGAAAAAAAAAAAAGAGAAGAAAGAAAAAGAAACTAAGTATCCCACCTGTGCAGGTCATCAGGGTCGCAGTTGGCTAGAAAAGAGGTGACTACCTCAGCCACTTCTTGGTTGGAGAGGACGTCCCAGAGCCCGTCCGTTCCCATCACCAGAACATCATCAGCTCCGTGATCGTACTGCGTCAGGTTATACACCTTCACCTGCATGCCAAACCGCAAAGCATTAAGGCTTCCATTCTAAAACATCAAGTCACATAAGGTAGCAACAGAATTAATTTGGTACATTTGTATCATTTACAATGGAGTCTGGTCCCTTTGAACAGAGCGATATGACGAGCGTTTCGGGTTAAACAAGGATCTTACTCTTTGACAAAAGGTGTATCTCTTTAGAAATCCTATTCATAATGTTGTCAGACACTTATAATCACAACCTGAACCTGCCAGTTGCAAAAGAAAGCACTTCAAGTGGACATACTTTAATGTGGATAAATGCACCATTTCATTTGGTTTTACAAACTGTACTCCTCTATTTATTTTTGATTTTAAGGTGACATGCTTAATGAACATTTTCTTTTCTTCTTAAATTGGTTATTTATATGTTTTCTCTGTAACTAGCTACTACTTTGCCTTTACATGTCAAAAAAAAAAAAAGAAAAAAAAGTGCAACTAAACCAATTAACAAGTAACCAATGGCTGGCATAAACGCCAACAGCTGGACTGGTAGTACCAGATATTGGTGATTGTCAGCTCAGAAACCAGAAGAATGACACCAAATTATAAAGTTATCCCAAAGTGAAAGACTTCTTAAAGATTTCTCAGCTACAGCAGCTCAAGTTTCTCATCCACACTGAAATCTACACTGATCTATCATTTTCACAACTTAATGAGCTCAATGCAATTTTCATTCACTGACAGACTTTGGTGAGAGGTGAGAGTTGTGTTTGTAGGAGAAAGAGAGGCACACAGACGGAGACACAAAGAGCTGAGAGGAGTTAAGTCTTCAGTGTGAACCTGGCATGAACCCGGGTATTAATGAATTAAAGATCAAGCAGAGAGCTCTGGGAGGAAAAATGCAAAACTCTGTAAGACGAACTACGTCAGGAGATGAAAGCGCTTTGAAACCAGTGCCAGACAGTCAGACAGGTGAGCTCAAATTCTTCCTCTGCAGAGGACCTGGTTCAGACAGAGAGGCAGCAAAATGCCACTTCTAGTGACTGCGGTGCAAATACGACAGGGGTAAAAGCGGGGCTGAGTCATGTGACTGAAGTCATGACACATAACAAGGTAAGGAGTTGAGGCTGGCAAGAAAAAACTAAATGAGACGGAGGAAAGAAGAAAGGAAACATCTGCAACATGGGATTTTGTAAGAATTGTACCAGCTACGGGAAACAACTTGAGTCTGAGGGTCAGTGGGTTCAAGGAGATAGATGCTGACATGTTAGCCCACAATCCCATGTGTTTGGAAAACCTAGCATGACAAAATGAAGCACAGGCTGACCGCAGGCGTAACCTGATATCTACATGTGTTCTTGACTGGTCCGAGCACCAGAGACAGGATCATTAGGTTCAGAAGTTACAGGGGCTGGACTCAGCTATGTACCCCATGCTCCCAAAATCTTACATTGAAAAGTATGTCTAATAAAATAAGCATGAGTACAAAGTCACTTTAGTTGGGGGCACTAGAACCTAAATGACCCACATGCAAACAAAGGAAGGCAGATTTTACAAAAGAAATAAAGCTGTCCCTTCCACAGCACATATACATTTTCCAAATGGTAGAATTATTTCTTACACTGGGACTTACTAAAACAGATACAGCTCAAATTAAAATGTGTATATAATGTTACGTAAACTAGACAGTAAAGACTTTAAACTTTCAAACTATTTTCTTTATCTCTTCAGTGACTGAATGTGAGACAGCGGGCTGTTTGCAGCAGCACTGTAGCTCTTACCTCAGGGCAACAGGAAAGGAACGGCTTGATGTAGATGTTGGAGTCGTGAACTTTGAGATCATGGTCGCCGAGCCCGCGCGTCACGCCGATGGTGGCCAACACCCGGGCCTGTGAAAGAAAGACTGGTTTACTCACAGCCCGTCTTTGAACATATGGATGTAAACATGGTCTCTGTCACCGTGTACAACACGCAGAGGCGGTGGAGCTAGTGACAACTGCTCACTGTACAGCGTGTGCCAATATAGATTTGCATTTTAAGGGGGGGGGGCATACAGCTGGTGTACTAGTTTCTTAATTAAATGGATACATGGGTAAACACAGATGCCTATAGGTGAAGCTGGGATATTCATGGTGCAGTTTGACGGAGGGGAAAATCTCACATCTGTTGAAAACATCAGGAGTAAACGTCAGGTTTTTGGTATCAGTCCATCAGAATAAGAGTGACTGAGAGTTTCCATGTAAAACTACAGTTCATCATACTTGCTGTATTTACCGGCAGCATCTCAAACAGGCTGATCTCTCATAACAGTGCATGTTTCTATTCCAGATACAGAATACACAGATTTGTTCACTACACTTTACACTAAAGGAGGTGGTTTGCGTGTCTGTCAGCTAAGCAACAGTACACAAAGGATCTGCACAACAAATATCACTGTATGTGAGGCAGTTAAAAGTGTTGTGAAGTGTCCTAAGGGCACTGAAACTCAGCAGTGTTATTTTTGTATTCCTTTAATTATCAAAACCTTTTTCAATATTCCTCCACTCTTTCATCCTTGAGTGAAAACTCTCTGAATTTAAAACACTGGCGCTATGTGGTCGACAGAAGCTTTTTCCCTCTCTGATGAGAACTTGTTACGTCTCTCTTTGCTTCAAACCAAACTGATTGAAAATATGAAACAAACTGACATAACTTGCAGCGTTTTGTGCAATTTATTTTGTGGTGTGTTTTCAGTTTCGGTCTCTTCTTCTTCTTCTTCTTCTTCTCCTTCTCCTCATCTCTCCCCTGCTGTCCCAGTGGGGATTAACTTCACTGCTCAGAGAGACGACTGTCATCTCCCGAGTGGTGTGTGTCCATCCGAACGCATGTGTGGTGTGTGTTTGTGTGTGTGTGTGTGTGTGTGTGTGTGTGGGTATTAGAAGTGGCTACTGGAGTGAAACGGATGGACCGTCTTCTCTGTCTTCTATTGAGGGTGTACATTGACACACACACATGCACAGCGTGTTACTTGCACATCAGAGACCAAGTGTTTGCCCACTCTCTGGGTAGCTAGCAGGCATGGAGTGTGTGTGAGTGTGTGTGAGTGTGTGTGTGTGTGTGTATAAGACTGACAAGGACACACTGAGTGATTTACTTTTCCCTCTGCACTTTTGAATTCCAGATACATGTTCAGGGGTTGGAGTGCACACACACACACACACACACACACACACACACACACACACACACACACACACACACACACTTACCTTTTTCCCTTCACCGTATATTAGTGGGAACTTGAGATCTTCATCTTCAATGGTCTTGTACGCCCTTGTGTTTGAGAACAGAAAAGAAGATCAAGACAGTCACACACACACACACACACACACACACACACACACACACACACACACACACTTTGAAAAAGAGGTGCACAGTGGAGTGAGAAGAGCAAATGTGAACTTCTGAGGTCTCTTTAATTATACCCTCTTTTCTCTGTCACGTCGGCTCTGGGAGACATTTGCTCATCCAGATGTAACACAAACAAAGGCAACTGCCACCTGACTGACGCCCGGGCCTTTTTTGTCTCACTTCCCCCTCTCATTATGTCATAGGGAAACTAAATTCAGAACCTCGTTTGCTAATGTAAACACACATATCATGATCATTCTTTTCATTTATCTTTTGATGAGAAATATGAATATTGAATATCAACAATAAATCAAATGACTATGTGTAATGTGAAAGGGGGTCATTTGTAGTGACAAACTAACATAACTATTAATTGCCTGACTTTACAGTTTGCAGTGTTTTAACTTCTTTAAGTTCCTTTTTTTGGTTTCAGGGATCGCGGTTTTACTTTTTTTTTTGGTTCACTCTTACACCCAATCACCAGCTGCACCGGGCAGCTGTTTTCAGCAAAAATGCTCTGATAAACTTTCTGTACACCACCTGCCCTGCACTGAACTGCAGACAGTGTCATGGTTTGCCATGGCAGACACTTATGGTTAGTTTGTTTGGATTTTGTCACTTCATGTTTTATTTTGTAGTTGGTTTCCTTGTGTGTCTTAATGTTTTTACTTCCTGTCTTGGTCCTGTTTTTCTGTGTGGTGATTGTCTGCCCCGCCCTAATGTGTTTCACCTGTGTTCAATCACCCTGGCCTCCCTTGTGTCTATATAGTCTCTGTGCTCCCCTTTGTCTGTTCATGTCTGGTTTGTCCTCGGCCTGTTCATGTTGCCTGTTCATGTCGGCTGTGGTATCCCCTGTGTCTCCGGTTGTTGTTCCTTGTGTGCCCTCGTGCTTCGGTTTCCTGTTCTGTCGGTTCACCCGTTTTGTAAGTTCTTCAGTTAATAAACTTTTTGCACCTCATTCCCCTGTGTTGGCTGCATTTGGGTCCAGCCTTACCCGCACCGGGACAGACAGACAAAGTTAGCATCCAGCTGGTGAACATGGTGAAACAGAATCAGCAAATATTTCTCTATATGGAGTGAGTGGGGAGCAAAAATAGAATTACAAGAAGAGAGACTATTCTACTAACATTTGTTGGGTGGCCAGAAATTCAACCACATGAATGCAAATGTTGCATCATGTGTGCTGGAGGTCAAAATTTGTAATATTAGCTAACTTGTTAGCCACAACAACTTTAAAAAGTGACAATGTGTCAGTGCTGTGATTACAGCTTGCTCTGCTGCACCAAAGAACCCAAAATAATCAACTATGCTGCTTTTAAAATCATGTCCATGTATGAATGCATCAATTTCCTTGTGCTGTCTTCCATTTTTAAAATTCAGTTTAGTATTGAACAATCATAAAACTAGGGGGCTTCCCAGAGTACATTTTAAAAAGAAATTGGTGCAGCAGGAGCTGATATACCGTCACATTTAGTATTTTACTCCCTAGTATGGGACAAGGCTTCAAAAATACACTTCCCAAGATGCAACTTGATAGCATCTCTTCGTTAGGACCCTCCCTGTGTCATAAAAAGCCAACATCCTTTCAAATGCCACAGCACTTCCACTTGAATAAAAAATAATGGAGGATGTTTACTAAAATACGTAAAAGTAGAAAACAAAGCGACCAACATTCTTCCTGAAGTTTACCAACACTTTGATAAAGCCTGCGTCTCAATGCAAGAGTGTTTCTCGGGAGTGCAATAACAAGTGCTTTGCTGCTGAAAAATTTTGTTAGAGAAAGCAAGTGAGGGGGGGGGGGGTCGTCTTCCAATTCACAAGCCAACAACAAAAAATAAGTTCAGAAGTGCACAAGTGGAAGCAGAAGATTTGAAAACACACTTAGAAATAGAGCTTTGATGTCAGACTATAAGACTCCATGGCTGACGCTGATGTACTTAAACTAGCTAGATTAGACTTGGCGTCACCAGTCAGTGAAGAACATCAACTACTTCAAACAGCTTCATATCTGACCGGGGTTTGCCCCATCTGTCAGTCTGTGTCTCTCGCTGCCCATTTGCCTGCCTCAAACTGAGATGTGTACTTTTCCCAACCCAAACACAACGCCCTCTTTCTGTCTGGCTTTTTTGGCTTTGTGCCTTTTTTGCCGGTGAGGTGGAGACACAGCTTCTCCATCTATCAGCCACCCTTCCATCTCTGCTCGTCAAACTTTACGTCTCTCAGAGAGATTTATGTGTTTACTCCGCTGAATGAGAACGCTCATTTTCAGTATCACCTACTCTGCATTTCAGAGTTACACACCTTCAAAAAAAAAAAAAAAAAAAAAAACTCTCATAAATGCCAAATATTCGCTGTTTGAAGTTTTATTGATTTTCTCTGGTTTATGTTTGAATATCTTTTCAACTGTTGGCTGGACAAAACAGGCAATTTGCAAATATCACCTTCAGCTCTGAGAAATTCTGATGAGCAGTCAGGCCCCTTAAGGAGCTCCTTACGAATACTGCCTTGCTCAAGGGCACCTCGGCAGGAGCTGCTTCTAATAAACAAGCCACAGTAGCCAAAAGCAGAGTCATTACAGTCTCTTGGCTTTCTCAAATCTCTCAAAACTATTCTCCCGCTGCCTCAGTTTGGGCCCAGGCTAAATTTCAAGATGAGGAGATTAGAGAATAATATGGCCGAGTTATAAGGCTATGTCTAGCCTCACTAATTTATTGAATAATGTCAAGTCCAGAGGGCTGCAATTGAATGCCTGTTAAGAATCTTGTTTACTTATGATTTTATTATATTATTTCTGAATTTCAGAACAAAATGTCCTAGTGTTTATTTATGCATATATCTTGTTCGGCAGCTGGACAATACCTAACATTTGAGAGGTCTGGCCTGTTAATAAAAAAAAATTTTGGTTTGATAGAAAAATATATCATAATCATATTTCTATATCAACAATGGTCTGTAATAGGGGCGTGGAGTAGCTCAGTTGGATGATGTGTAGAGGCTACAGGCCTCGCTGCAGTTGGCCCCGGTTTGAGTCCCACATCGGACAGCCCTTAGCTGCATGTCATTCCCCCTCTCTCTGCCTCCCCATTTCCTGTCTCTCTCTACTGCACTATCAATAAAGGCACAAAAAGCCCAAGAAAAAAACAAAAAAAACAAAAAAAACAATGATCTGTAATAGTGATAAATTCACAAAACACTATTACCCAACTCTGCAGTTTCCCTCAGCTCTGTGGCCCATTTTAGCATCTTTAGGCTAACTGTTTTGGTTTTATGTCCCACAACTTTACTGTTTTGATTTACTCTCACTCTCAACCTCACCAGCCTTGTTTCTAGATGTAGTAGGCATCTCTGTTTGCAGCCAAAACAGCAGTTTAGCTCTGATAAACCCACTGTACATGACCTGCCCAGCACCAAACAGCACAGAAGAAAGAGTTAACGGCTAGCTGTTGCATTTAGCTTCTGAAGAACCACATATTTCCCTCAGGAGTTAGTTTAAAGTGAAAACCAAGCTAAAAGGAGTGTGAATAATGAACTTAAATGTATTACATGGACAGAAATACAGCTCAAAATAAATGCTAATATTGCTTCGTGTGTATAAATAAGCAGATGTTTGCTAACAAGTTTGCTAGCTTAACAGTTGATGACAGTGTTGTGTTTACTGCTCCTTTCCGCTACATCCAAATAGCCAAACAAATATAATTTAGGTATACGTAGCAAAAGCTGAATATGGTATCTACACAGGCAATAAAAATGTTCACACAATACCATGTCCTGTTCTTACAACATATAAAATTACTCCAAACTACTTCCTTGCATCGATGCTAAGAGATATAAGAGCAGCCCATACAGTGGCACATCCTGGCTGGCTCCAGAGGGAGCGGCTTTATCGTGAAATATACATCACACACCACAATACACACAGTGCAGTGTGTGTGCCTCTGTGTGTCGGTGAGGGAGAGTGAGTGTGTCAGTAAAAGCACATCTCATTACTGGCTTCCACTGCAGCCACAGTTAAACAGCATGGTGCCTGGCTAACCCACATAACACTGCACATACAGAACCATCTCTGCTGTATCATCATATCATATCAGGTTAGGCTGCTCCCTCATTAGCTCTCAGCCAGTCTCTTCAGCTCTCACTGTGTAGAAGAGTTTAAGCAGCAGTAAAGGAGGGAAAACGAGAGAGAGAGAAGCAGGGATTCACACCACTAATGAAATAGTTTTCAGATTATTGTTTCATTTAAAGTGGAGGCAGCTGGAGTGGGGTGTTGTGGGGTTTGCAATCCCAGAAAATTAGCAGGTTTCATTTCACATCGTAACTTGACAGGTATGATTCATGGTAAGGCAGGCTTTTTTCTTGTGGATATGGAGTCTGCCATCTTCAAGTGTTTCGTCTGCTCGGTGAAAATAGTGTGTAAAAGAGAGAAAATTAAAGAGACCGAGGGAGACTGAAGGGACTTACCACCCGTTCATGGTGAAGTCTCGGTAGAGCATCCTCTTGCCCACCTCCTTCCTCTGAACTCTCCGGGGAAATTCCAGGTGCGTGAACTCATTTCCTAACAGGTGAGGCTGCATGAAACCCTGGAGGACAGACAGTGATGGTCCTCGAGTCAATCAAGCAGCTAAATGTGTGGCAGATTTGCAGATAAAATGAAAATCATTTTCCGTCACTTTGGTTTTTTGCCCTTTGTCACTTCACTCAGTCTGGAGATATGATATTGCAGAATTAAAATTCTGCTGACAATAGATTGGTCACTTTTCTTTTTCTTTTTAAACCTAGACACAACATAAACAAAAGTCCAATGAATTCATTTATTGGGCAGGCACTCACAAATTTTCTTCTTATTGTTTTCAAGGTTTTATGCATTAGTGGCTGTGCCAAAGTATTTGTCAGGCTCTATTTCACTCTAAGTCTGTGGTGAAGGAAGATCAGAACTTTTACTGAAGTAAAAGCACCACAATGTAAAAATACTCAAGTAAAAGTCCTGACTTGAACATGTTACTTGAGTAAAAGTTTGTAAGTATAATCAGGAAAACGTATTCAAAGTAAAAGTACTTGTAATGCAGAAAATTGTCTCCTGTGACTCTTATACTGTTATATATTAATGTGTAAGCAGCATTTTAATGTTGTACTTGGTTAATTGTTCACATTTTTAACTACTTTATTGGCTTTGTTCAACCTTTACTCCAAAACCGATTAAAATCATTAGGAGGAAATGTTTCAGAAACTGATCAGGTCATGTAGAAATTCCAAGCATTTCCTGGTTCCAATCATCAAATCGCTGGATAGCACAATATTTCCTTCTAAATGGTGGCAGAACAGAGGTGAAACGTATCATAAAAGTACCTCAAATTTGTACCAAAGTACAGTAATCGAGTAAACGTACATTGATGAAGTTCTGAGCATTTGTCTGAACATCACTTTTGACATGTTTATTCATTAATTCAATGAAAAACATGGAGTTGCAGAGGTCTGAGTCACTGTCTATAAAAAGGTCAGTCACAGCCATCTATTCTCAGCTGATGAGCTTGTTGTGCATCCTCACATTGGCTGCATTTCCCCTGTTGCACAGCTCTACAGGAAACTGACGGACTTCAAATGCCACGCTGAGTGTGTTGCTTGTCGTGCGAACACAGTGAGAAACCACGGCCAACAACAACACTGTGTGACTAACCTCATAGCATATCTGTCAAGACTTATATTATAATACTTTCAACAGAAGACGCATAAAGACGTAGAGGTATGTTTTTCTTACCAGGAACTGGAGTCGCTGTCGCTCTGATTCTGGCGTGAACTCTGTTGACATGGGAACGATCTCATTGTCTCTGATAATGATAGCCCTGCAGAAAAAGTCGGAAAAGTAACGTAACCTTGTGCACACGCAACCGTACAATCAAAAAGAACAAGCAGCTGTATTAGTTGCACCTCCTATCTCTGCCCCAGCATGTTGGTGCACTTCCATTTTATGTCTTTGGGAGCCCCCGGGTGCACTGCAGTGTAATTAACCCTGCGTCCTTCACAAACCATTTCATTTAGAGGGGATGAGCACACACACCTACTGTCACCTGCATTCCCAACGTATAGTTTTCCTAGCAGGTAAACCACGGTGAGAGCCGTGCATCCTCCTGTGATGTTATACACTTGCTTCTCCCTCTCGATCTGGGCGTCCTGGGGGGTGGGGAGGGGGGGTGAGAGAGAGACGGTTTCTTCAATGAAGCATCAGTTAAGACGACGACACAAAAACAAAAAGGTCATTAAAAACAAAACCCGCACTGTCAGCCGCCCACGCAGGCAGAAGGAGAGTTTAAATCCACGGTCTGTGTCTTTTTCTGTTCAGTAACTCCGACACAGACAGTGAGCGGGAGGCAAGGCTGATAAAATTTGATCAACTTTTCAGAAAGGCAGATGATGCGTGGGCATGGTTGTAACTATCGATCGGTTTGAACTGAACCTCTTGTTGACCGTGTGTCGGCAAACAAGTGCCCGTCGTGCATGAATAATGCAGACAGTGATATGTGAGAAGGTTTCTATCTTGACTCCGGGTTTAAGGAGCCTTGTGCTGGCTGTACAAGTGCACACAGTCAAGAGTGCAGTTATTTTTCTGCTCGTTTTGTAATAAATATTTATAGTTTTTATACTTAAACTCCTCCTTATATGCTATTTCTGTCCCTATTTTAATACAACCGGGACATAATCACATGAATTTCTCCCAGATTTACAGGTCTGTGCAGAAACCCTGCAGACAGAGCTCTCTGATGAGCAGCTTTTTTCCCGCAGGTGGATTTCTTTCTGCAGAGGCCACAGCTTTAACTGACGCAGCGATCGTCTTCAACAAAGGATGTCAAATCAAGTGTAAGACTGTTTCTTTTCACAAAACGGAAAAGGTGACGGGGGGTTGATCTTAAAAGAGCTTTCGTAGTGATTTTTTTTTTTTTTTTTTTAGTCTGGGTTCCACAGGGTACAGCTTGAACAATGTGTGCTGCTTTCCATTGCCATCTAGTGGTAATGCTGCATACACTGGCTCATAAAGACATCTCCTCTCAAAGCACTTTCAAAGAAGCATACAATACAAAGCAGAGACGGAAAATGTCAAGACAACACACGCAACTGAACGGTATAAAAGAATCCGTTCCGTTTCGGAGCTTTAATTCATTCTCTTTGGATTCATTTGGGAAGACACAAGAGTCGATTTCCTGTGACTATTTCTCAAACGCCTTTGATTCAAAAGCAAATGATTTGAGACATATTGAGCAAGATGCTGCTGCGACAGAAATCCACGGTCTAATGTGTACGGTTGAGTGGTATTTAGCCAGGAGCCATCTTTTCATAAGCCAGCTCTCTCGACGCCAGATGCCAGTTTGTCTAGATAAACTGTGAACAGAGATGCTTAAGGTTGTGGTCCGTGTGCATCTCTGCAAAGTGTGTGTGTGTTGGTGGAGCTTTTGTTTATCTGTACTTACATGCATATGTTGGCTCCATCATCTATCTACATTTCCATATCTGCTCGGTATCCATGTAAATATTTATTGCATACACAATGGTGGTGTGCTGTATGTGGGTGCTGCAGAAACATCAAATTTACAGGTGATGCGTTTAAGTGTTGATTGACAAGTGAGATGTCTTTCAATTGAGCTGTTGTGAGGATTTTTATCCGACTGACAGTACAACACTCGTGGAGAGGTCCGCTTCATTTAATTATACGGCATTTAAAAAGGATAATTACTCAAGGACTGAAGATGCATCTCAGCAGATTAAAGCCAAGTCAACTACAAAGAACATCTCAAGTGCGACTCATCTTTTTTGACCCCATCTTATTGCTTAATCCTGACCTCTGCCATGTTTTTATGTGCCTCATCTTCAAAGCAAAGCTGGTGAAAGTCAGTACAGACTACGGAGAGCAAATTGTGTAGAGCCGCTTTTATTATCTGTGTTTCTTAAGTCGATTAACTAGCTGTAAAGAAAATGTCAGAAAGCTGCTTCCATATTGAAATGTTTTGTTTTATCTCATCAAACCCAATGATATTCAACAGACTGTCGAGAAAGGCTAAAGAAGCTCACAAATATTCACATTTGAGAAGCTGGAACCACAGATTTTTCTTTTTTTTTTTTTTTTGCATAAAAAATTACTTAGAAGATTAATTGATCATCAAAATTGTCGCAGATTAATTTGCTGTCATAATCAGTTAATTGACTAATTATATCACTGCATTCTGAGTGAATGAAACTGACCAAGGCCGTGGGAAAAATGTCACCAGACCCATGAAAGTGTCTCATTGCAAAGTGAGTAAGACAGACAGACTTTTTTTCATGCCAGATATTTTGACTTGTTCCTGTAATAGGAATACAGCCGCTATTAGTGTTATCAATCACACTGTGCATTCCCTGCCATGATATTTCAAAATGTCAAACCAACCTAAAAAACATAATGTGCATATTTTTAGAGCGGAACTTAGAATAAAGGCTGTAAAAACACAGGTGGTAAAAATGCTGATGATAGGTTCGTCTGTAACTGTGAGGTCAGACAACTGATCCCTGCAAGAGGATAATGAAAACTTTTCTGCAACCTTCACAGGACATTTCTCTACATAAAAGCATCAGCCAAAATCCAAATGTTAAGTAATGATCCATGACAGAGTGACGCCCAGTGAGTGTGAAAGCTTTCAGGACCGATCAGGATGAGCGGACTCAGATACTGCACAACGTGACTTTGCAGCTGTCTCTCACCATCTCTTTGAAGGCGTTCTCTACAGCTCCTATCACCAGGCTCTCGTGCTGGATCTTCTTCTCTGTGAAGAAGCGAGGCGGCGGCGGCGGCGTGCTGCACGGGGAACCAGGAGCGCCCGCGGCCCCGCGCAGCGAAGCAGCCCGGGTAAGGGCGCGGTGAGGGCCTGGGATGCTTCCCTGGAGGTAGGGGTTGTTGTCGGGCTCTTCCCCCAGCACAGTGGGAGGTGGGTAGGCCAGGTTGCGCAAGATCTCAATCACGGCCTGGAGCTGGCAGGCGATGTGGTGCTGCAGCAGGCGGGAGGCAACAACCGCCGCACCTGAACCAGCGTGACCATCGAACAAGGCCCAGTAGTGGAACACCAGTCCTTCACTGTCCTGTAGACACAATATACAAAATATTTATTTATTTTATATCGAATGATCAGTGCATAGAAACACAGGAAATTAGGAGCAAAATTATAGGTTTATAATTTTTTAAGCTCTTCAGGGAAAAAATTGCAATTTTCATGCAGAGGATCTACAGGAAGATCAGCAACCAGAGTCAAATTCACCAGTGGTGTTCCAGTTTAACAGAAGAGTGTCACTGGAAAACATCACAGACTAATATCTACCGACACACACATACAGAAAGAGCATTTCCATGTCTTTCCAGAAACATGGCTCTAAACTTACACCACACCCAGATAATATAAAACAATGAATGTACTGTAAACTTAGCTGAGGTCTCTCCCTTGGTCACATAAGTGATTAAACATATAGTCATGTAATGAGACACTGTTTTAAGTTCATTTTTGTGTTATGTGTAAAGCATCACAAATAGAGCAATGTGACAAAATCATACAGAAACCATCCTCCAGCTCGTCACACCATACACAGCTAAGATAACGTCTTTTTCTATTTTATTCTTTTAATAGTTTGATTAGATAAAGGTGAACTAATGCTGCTGGTTGAACTTGTGGTACGCATGAGTCATTATTGAGAGGAGAGACCCGGGAGAAGACATCATGACTCATTCTGTCCATCTCATCTCTTCATTTCTGTGTGTAGGGAGGGACAGCACAAGGCTTTCTCTCAGGCCTTTGTCTGCTTGGTATTACCTGACCTTCAATACACATTCTTTATCAAATAAAGTCCTGTTTTCAGCTGATGCTTGCTATGAACCGATAGAGAGTCACATGAAAAAGATCACTTTTGTGCAGACACCTAAATATGAAGTTACAGCTAGCTAGACTCGTTAGCTTAGCCAAGTTTGGAAACTGTGCCTCCAAGCACCCGTGAGCTCAATAATCAACAAATTATATCTCACGTGTTTAATCTGTACAAATTCAAATACACAACCCAGTGTAAAACCACGAGTTCTTCTTGTTACTCACTTATGTATGTTTCCATGTCTTTATACTAAGCTAAGCTAACTGTCTCCTAGCTATAGCTTCCCATTTAACAGAAAGATGTGAGAGCAGCATCGATCTTCTCGTCTAACTCTGGGCACGTAAGCTAGTAAGCATATTTTTCACAATGTCAAACTATTCCTCTTCTTTAAATTGTGCATTTAGAAGGGAATATTTCATGTTAAAGAGATTTAACCACATTTTTAGGGGCTTTAATGTGAACATGAACTCCAACTGTTAGGTAACTGCTCCCTGTGTATGCCTGTGTACAAAACTACAATATATGTGCACCCTGCATATAGCCTGTGTACATATAATTATACATTCAATTATGTGTGTTACGGCAGCATGTGTTGGTGGTACTGTCTCCCCTGTAGCTCCGCCCAGGCTGTTCCTGATTACTCCATGAGATGCACCTGGCCTGGGAATGAAGAGTTAAAGGCTCTGGTGTCAGCGTCAGAAGGCAGAGGCTTTTAGCATGGGGACTGCTGGGCTCGCTGTCTCTCAACCCGGGGTTTTTGTTGTTGTGTTCTGATTTGTGTCTTTTGTAGTCTTAATTTGATGTCCGGGTCGTTTTTGCATATTTATGTTAAAGAGGACCACGTCTTGTGTGAACAAACTTCGGATGACAATATTCATAAATTGGAATATTTTTATAAGAAACCCTTTTGATTTTTTTTATGTATGGACACTTCCGGACTAAAGGAATATAAATAATATTCAGTCGACAGGTAGGGAGTCTCCACCGCTTCACCTCTTGCTGGTTTACAATGCCATAAATCTGAATGAATTTAACGTAGTGGGCATACTTACTGAAAAATGAACTCAGCGGTTAAACTGTGGATAACTTATCTGCGCTAACGAGGTACAGTATGTCAACACTGACAAACGTTTAAGCATTTATATCTTTTCTATGCTGCTTCTTACTGACATGATCATAACAATGCAGAGCGACGGGCTGTGAGGCTGAGTCCCCTGTTCGGCCACATCAAGTGTGAAATACAGAAATAACCGTTGTGAAAATGAAGCGTCTAACTGTGCGTGGTTTCTGAAGCAGTCCTCCTTGAAATGCAGGTTCATACTATAATGTTTGGAGCAGTGGAGAACAGTGGAAAAATTAAGTAGGTTTCTGCAAGAAATTAAGACCACTGTCTTTTCAGCATGGCTACAAAACTAATGAAAACTCTTCACCATAAGTAGTTATGTGCTGTGCCTTGTGTGGGGGGTGAGCCAAGCTTGCAGGTGGGCAGCACCAAGAGAAGTATTGACTTCAATAGGACCAGTAATGTCTGGACCCCAACGAGGCGTATCATACAAAGAGGAAAATTGGGTTTTTACCCTGACAGAGTTACTCCCTTTGATGTAAACTTCGATCCTTGTGACTCTGGAGACCATTTAACTGCACACAAACCTACATAACACACTATAAGTAAGGAAAAACCTTCAGAAATAAAACCCTCATTATTTTAGAGTTGTCTTGTGAGTCTTGTTTGGGTCACTGGTAGGTGTGTTGTGCATCCCTTAGGGCCGCACAAAGGTGGGGCGTAACAAGTGTTTGTTTGTGTTTATGTGTACACCCACCTCTCCCGGCTTGCTTTGCTCCATGCGGAGCCCGAGTCCCTCTCCGTTGGGCAGGGAGTTGCGTCTCTTGGCGGTGGGGGTCTTGCTGGGCGTGGAGGGAGGGCAGTAGCTCATCGGCCTCCTTCTGGCCACTACCACCTCGCAGCATGCCTGGTCCTCATTCAACGCACTCTTACCAGCATTAATCACCCTGCGGGAGGAGGGAAAGGAGTGAGCATATTATATATAGTCTTAGAGTCATATTTTAGGCTACAGCCATTCAGGCGTCCTCTTACATAAAAATATATTTGCCAATATACTTTTGGCATTCATTGCTCCAGTTAAAATTCTGCTACAAGCAACAGATGCACCAATGGCTGTGATTAGCCAGTCTGACAGCTGTGGTCCAGAACAAGCGTTTGAATGAAAGCCGACCTCAGATGCTTTTTATCGGATGAAACGGTGCTGCACTCTTTCATGGTTATTATGGCTCACTGCAGGATCACAACAATTAGTCAGAGCCACAGCCTGAGGTTTCTCTCTTTTCACCCAGTGAAGCAGCTGGCTTCGTATGTTTCATGTTCCCGATGAAGATCAAACAGAAAGCGCTTGTTTGTGGTACTGCTCTGCTGGGAGTGTCCTGATGCCTCGGGACAGTCGCTTCTGGGTGAATTAGTGTGTCTTTGTTTGTGTGTGAGACTGGACATACACGTCCACAGGTGTGTGTGTGTGTGTGTCTGTGTGTATGTGTGTGTGTTTGTGGTTATGTTCAGCTTTATTTGTCCATCATCTAAGGAGACAGACGACAGACCACAAAGAGAGATGATGCGATGACCCAGTAACAGTTAAGGCCAACCACACAGTAACTATGTGGTTTTCATAAACATAATACGATGTCTTTATTTCCTGCTCTGCCACTTTTGTCCATTTTCTTGTGTTGTCGTCACATGTGGAACAGGAAGCTACCTGTTATCCACTGCCTACAATCTTTATGTGATATATGAAGAAAATGCCCAAACAATTATCATAGTTTTTTTTTAACCATGCCGTGACTGCACACTGTTAACATGGCTATGGCCAGTACACTCAGGTAATGAGTCAAAGGCATACGCGCAGCTCTCAGAACATTTTGTGGTCAAAACTTTCTAATTCTTTGGATTTGTCAAGTTTTATCTATTTAGTTGACTATTTTATTTTATTTTTTATAATTTATGGGCTGATAGGCCACAGGCCAGCTCTACATTTGGGAACTCCTTCGTGAGTGAGTGATGACATTGCACCATTGGTCGGATGGCCAACGTGGACTTTTTCCATTGGCAATAGCCTATTTATTTTTATGTTGACAGCATGTGGTATTTAATTTTTTATTAAATATTGAAATCTAAGTCAGGCCTGGCCAGGTGGCACTATCCATGGTACTGAAAGGGGGATTTAATTTTGACATGTTGAATTAGCATTTATGTATGATTGCATCCCCCATGTGTCTGCATGAAGAAAGGACAAAGCACATGGTCAGTCTGGAGGGGGAACCTGTGCACACCCATACACAGTCCAGCCATATACTAGGTGTGTAGCAAGTCTTGTTTTAGGGTTTAGAATGATCATGATCAAAATGATGATTCTCCAGACTTTTACACACTGCCAGGAAATACTGATTTAAATGCATATGCAAAACTTTTCAAAATCATAAATACTGAGTCTTAACACTGGAATGACTCCTTAATATCAATCTTGGGACGGCAATGTTGGACTGGTTTATGACCGAAAACCTGTAAAACTAATAACATTAGATATTCTGCTATACTTTGTGTTTAGCACAAACGCACTAAGATAACAAACATGGAAAACATCATAACTGCTAAACATCAGTACGTTAGCATTGTCAGCATTGTGACCATGTTATCATGCTGATGTTAGCAATTCGTTCAAAGGTACTTAGCCTAAGATAAGCCTCACAGAGCTGCTAGCATGGCTTACTTAGGACTTCTGTTTACTCAACTGAGTAAACATTCCTGCATTAAAAATGACACACATAGCTTTTCGGTGTTAAATTAAACAAATTTGCAGCACTAATGCTTTTACTGGCCTTCTCAAAGTTCACTAAACCCGCAGAACAATAGCTAATGACAGCTGATGTGATAGGGCTTCCAATACTTGGCGAAGACGGTGAGATTGTGACGACAGCTCCAATGAGACTGACAAGGCCGACAGACATCTCCAGAGGCTGTTGTGCATGTCTGTGTTTGTGAGTTGAGAAATTGGCATGTCTATTTATAGACTCAGACTGTTGGATGTTTTCTGCAAGGCAGCATCATTGTCTGGTTCTTAGCCTCAAATGCTTGTTAACCCTAGACAGAAAGAGCTTCATGAAAAAACAATGAACAATGAAGAGAGCAGAGTGAGAGTGCATGCATGTACATGTGTGTCTAAATTCCTATGTATGTAAGAATATATGCATTTATGTGTTTTGTAATATATTTTAGACTTTCTGCTGTTATTTATTCATCATAGCAAATGTTTGTTGTTCTGATTTCTTATATTCATGTTGTGTGTAAATTAAAAACATTAATGTAAGTGAGGCACAAAGAGGAAGAGAGAGAAAATGTGTTTGAAAGTCTTGTGTTGCTGTCCGTTGCACCTGTCTGGACACCATCTGGGTTTCAAGACAGAGATGATGGAAGTGGAGGGACAGTGCTGGAAAGAATATCCTTGTCTTCTTCACAATTTGCAGCGGTTAAATGGGTGGAGACCACATTAATAAAGGCCCATTTATCTGACAGTGTAAAGCTGCAAAGAACCCTTTCAAGTTGAGTTTTTTCCGTGTGTATTCTTATGACACTCTTGTCTGATCGGTGTTAAAAAGTTACATTTTATTTGAAATCTTATTAAAGTCCATAGAGCCTCTGAAACCATGAATGTGTGCCCCACCTATACGCTCATGTTGTCTTACTTAGTCTAATTTGTTGATTTGTTATAATTACAACTGAAATGATTAGTTGATCAACAAAGTAATTATTCAAGTAAAAATGCCAATCATCTTGTGTACAGCATTTTTTTTATTCTTATATGACAATGAACTGTTGACCTTTGGGTTTTGCAATGTTAGACAAAACAAGCTATCAGAAGACTGCGACTTTGGCTTTAACAGACCAAACCATTAAATCAAGAAAATAATAGGGACACTGATGGTAAGTCATTTTTAACAATATTTTCCCTTCTTTGGAACAACCAACGTGCATTAAAAGAAAGTGTTTAAAAACTGTTTGCCATGGCTTGTGCTATTAAGGAAGCTCCTAAGCTAAAGCTGGCACTACTTTGGTTATAATGTGTCATTCATCATGCATGCATAGTATAAAAGCCATTATGTCTAGGGGGCTGGATATCACTCTGATTACTCAGCTCTGCTTTCAAACCTAATGTGTTACCACTGCAGCCATAATTACAGTGGAAAATACCCTCTCAGTCATTATGGCCATAAAACGCTATGACACATGGACCACTTTTGAGCTTGTTGATACACACAAGTCCAGGAAGCCTTTGTCGGCTTCATCTAATCTATTGTCAACAAACACCGTAATGAGATGACCTGTGTCTATGAGTACAAACATGTGCTGCTGATTGTAGTGACCGTGATAAAAATATGTTTATGTGAACTTTTGAACCATGAATGTAAAAACTGTGAGCAAAAGCAATTCTCATCTTTCATAACTACAGTGCATTTAATTTAATAATCCTTCTGTGTTTCATGAAAGGTGCAGCTGGTGCTATTGTGCGCTTGTGATTGGGAGTAATCCTGCAACTCATTTGTCCTCATTTCACCATTTGCAGGAGGGATGATAGTCATTTTATTTCCCTGCCAATCAAATTTTTGTTCCATTCGGAACAATTACCTTTCCTCCCATTAGGAACAAAACCTAATTTCCTCTCCATTGTCAGACATCTAATGCCATCTTTGTTTCTCTACCCTCAGCCACAGATTCTGGGCCAGACATTGGCCCCAAGGATGTAATAATTATTTGGTGAAGCACAATGGTTGAAAGCTTTGCCTCTGTTTAACTTGGAACATGAAGGGAACAATAACAGCGAAACGGCTACAAGTTAAATACAGAAACAGTGCAATCATGACCAGAATCCTGAAGAAAAAGTACTACATTAGGACTTTTTGGAAGACTACCACCTGAAAGTATGAGATAAGAAAATACAAAATGTGAGTTTAAATGCAATGTCAGAATGGATGGGTTTAGATATCTCCTTATGTAGTTCTAATGGGACTGTGAGACACATCAGTAAAATGGCGCATAAGCAGTTTACAGTGATAATGGTGAAAGATTAACCTCTAAAAAATGTTTGCTTTTTTTTTAAACAATGGGTCTTTGATTTTCAGACAGAGCTAGACAAATCACCTGCTCAATTCTAGCTGTGGACCATCGATTTTGCCCACTGAAATAACAACCGTTGCTGGCAGACATCAGCATCTAGCTAGCTAATTATGCTAGTGTTTGCTCCATCAGTCGGTTGAAGCGTCGTCTCTGACTTTTTAATATTTCTTCTCAACTCTTTAAAAACAAAAACCCTGTAAAAGGATAAACAAAAGCAAAGATAGTGAAGCTTCATGATAGTGTACTAAAAACTCAGAATAAAGCTACATGTCGTAGGCAAAAAGTCAGTATCCTCACCAGTTTTTGATAAGAATTCAGCGGCTAATTATAATTATAGGCCTACATGTATTAGCGAGGCAGGGGATAGCTGTTTACTGTTCATATTTTCAAGCCATATGTTTAACTTATTTCACTTACAAGAGAAAATGTCTTTAGGTTCAGGAGCCTGTTGTGTTTGGCTAACATAAGGCTACGCTAATGTACTCAAATCCAATAAAAACAAGACAGAGCCACTAACGTTACCCATCACTCTGATATAATAGCATCCAGGAACTTCCACATAGTGGGTAAATACTACACAGTGGATGTGTTAATGCAATAGGGCTTTTTTTAATGCTCTTTGGACTTTGAAGTAATGGTCGGTTTCTACTGTAGGTTGTAAGCTAGCTGGACATGCTAATATTGGCATGTTAAATTAAATCAGTAATTAAAATTAAAAAAACCTTATACAACCTTACAACCTAAAACACCATCCTCCACGCTCTATCGTTTTCATTACAGTCCCATTTGCATTCGTTCAACGTTGTTAGAAATCCAAAGCTTGACAGGCTATAGTCATTACCTCCACCAACAAGGTTATGTTTTCACCTGTTATAAGCACTGAACCAATTTACACCAATGGAGGGATGGGACATGGATCAGGGAAGAACCCATAAAAATTTTGGTGCAGATCCAATTAAAAAGGCAGATCCAGGTATTTTTTAACCACTTTCCTTAACATTGCAAGATTGGGCATTTTTCAACATTTTCTTCAATTTCTCAATAAATAATGCATGGATCTTGATGTAAAAAGTCACACATATTTATGGTCTTGAGCTCTATGACTTTGTACAGTTTGGTGCAGATCCAAACAATAATCTGGACCTGACAGACATATTTAGGTTTGTTTGGCCTTGTTTGGGTTGCGCTCTGTAGAGAGCCATTCTAGTTTGTTCTATGATTGGACAATCGTGGTTAGGGGGACTTCAACAAAAGATTTATGAAATGACTGACTTGTCTTCAAATTGTTAATTTAAAAAAAAATCTTTTAGGATAATCAATTCCCTGTTTGTTGTGAGTATCTGTGGTTGTGGGAAGTAAAGAGTAGCAGGGTTTGAGAGACTACGTTTGAGGTAGGAGAGGTGAAAGCCAAAACGGCTGCTGTAATGACAACACAGGAGGTTTTAATTACAGATAAATGCTGATACGAGCTGAACTCATTAACCACACCGGTCCCAAAGAGACACTTCATGCCAGCGCTGAGTGTCAGTGCGAGTTGAGTGTGAGTGAGAACTCTGGTTATTCACAGTAAATGGGTAACAGAGTAGCGTGCTAGACACACATATTGAGGAATATCTCTCAGTATTTCCCCAAATCCCTCAAGCTTTAGCTGTAATATTCTATTATAATCCACTGCCTGAGAAGAGAGGAAGAAATCATATATTTCTAATAGTATAAAAATGTCATTGAAAGAGCAACCTTACAAGATTCAAAAATTAAAATGTTTTCAAATGTAATCTGTTCTTGAATTAAACAGAATTGCATCAAGCGTGGAAAGACGCAACATAGCTCAGTGCTAAATAATCTGAACATGTTGATAGTGTTTTATTCTGCCTTGTGCCATTAACTATGCTGCACTAGCAATGTCATGAAGTAATGTTATGATGCATTTTTACTAGAAACTCAGTATAATGCTCCGCTTTACTTAAGGACACAAATATAACGACTGACATTTAAGTAGTAAGGAAGTAAAGGTGGAAGATTCACAGATATCTAGGAACAATTATCAGACAGTGGTTCATTAACACTATCGGTGGCATTCTTTGCTCATCTTTATCTACAGAGTAATTCACGAACTATGTGATAACTACTGATTAATTGGCAAAGTTCCGGATTTGTTCCTTGCTGACTCCTCGAGCTTTTGTGTACCTTATTGCGAAATGTCAGCGACACACATTCACGCTATCAGGGTGGAGTGAGAGATTTGTATCTAGGAATTCACTTTTGTGATACAGTAACAAGGTTGGGAAGGGATGCAGCGGCAGAAAGCTGCTATGTGTTTGTCATATCATTTAAGCTGACGTGTTCGACTGCAGCAGACACACAACCACAACGAGATGCTACAGTATATATATGAAATACCAATGGTGGTGAAATACCAACAGGAGAGACTGACTGCTGACATTTAAGTAAAAGTCATCGTAGTCACGCTGCACTTCTCGTACAGCAGCTGAGGTCGTTCTGCTGACCTTCCATCAGTATCACACGGCAACTCCCTGTACATTTATTATACATTTGCGGGGTGATTTATAACTTCAGAGAATCACTTAATCTGTTAAGAGCTCCCTGCTGTTTGTGGCACCCCAGGCTACCTCTTGCAAATCACTACAGTTAATGAATGTCCAGTTACGGCCACAGGTAGACACCTACCGCACACTGACAGGGCTTTCCTAAGAGCTCCATCAAGCGACTTTCAAAATGAGTAACTATATAATTTTTTTTCATTCATGTTTTAATATACGAAAAAAAACAAAAACATAACAGCTTTGGGTACTATGTACTTACAAAACAATCTGTCATATTCAGCTCACTCATCAAGGCTTTCAACACCACATCTCAGGGACACATACTGTAGCATGATGCTAAAAGTTATTCTTGTGCATCTTTTCAAGACTTACAATCGTGCTACACCTGAAAATGAGTTATTATTTTTTGGAGCATACCATCAGTATCACAGGGTTTTCTATCTTTTTACATCAGATTGTGGAGGAGTGTCACTACAAAGGTGAGATTGCTGTGCAAAATGTGGCATGATTACATAATCACAAAAGCTTCACTGTTATACTTCTGTATGTAGATGCTGATGGAGGCAGCAATGACAGAAACAACCTCCTCACTTAGTTGCATCTAAAGACTAGTCATCAGTCTGGACTTTGGACAGCCAGAGCAGGAGGCTGCATCTTGCTGAACCGGTTTGCTACAGTTTATCTAGAGGCTGGTGACATGCAATCACACACAGACACACAGCCTGCCATAAACTGAGCACAGTTGTAGACTAATACCCTGATGCTGCTGGGAGAGCGTGTATTACCTTCTTGCACGTGAAAACCAGCTTGACTGCCGTCATCACTTTAAACTGCACGCGATTTGAATGTGGTGGGCTACTAAAAGCTTGGAGGATGCGTGCAAAGGCTTGCCCCGTGGATTCAAAACCACGCAGGAGATGGATGCAGGTCACAACAGGTGCAGCTTGGCTCCAACTCTGGGCTTTGTATTTATCAGAGAGTTTATCAGCGCTAACCTATTGTTTATTTCAACCTGAGGATGAGCACATTTCTCAGGTGAAGTGCTGGGATGAACACCTACAACTCCTGGGCCTCCACAGACTGACTGACAGGCAAGATGCTTTATATCAAATACCTTTTTGATGACATTTGAAAGAAAACAGGAGCCGCTTTGAGGGCAGCAGCCGTCGGGGTTACTTACTCAGCGTATCCGGTGGCCCACGGTAATCTCCTGGTTTCCTTCAGGATGAGGATGGGCCGGGCTATGTGGTCCGCGGAGCACTCGATCTCATCCGGGGACAGGCCGAGGAACTCAGGTCTCATATATGGGAATTTCAGCGGCAGCTCGGAACCAGGGTTGCCCCCACCGCTGGAGCTGCCCCCGGCCATTATTCCACCCATGAATCCGGCCACGGCGGACTTGACCCGGGTGAGCATGTTGTTGGCGCGTCGCGGCGGGGTGTCCGTCGGCCGGTGCGTGGCGCCACGGCTCCCTTTCCCCGAATTCCCCCCCAGCTCGCTCGCGCTGGTCGACGACAGGCTCGATGGAGAATAAGAGGCTGAGGAGGAGGAGGAGGAGGAGGAAACCCTCAGATGATCACGGTTTCATTCATTCAGAGCGGAGACCTCAGCATCAACCGGAGGCCAGGGCGATGAAAACAGCAATGATGCTTTAAGTAAAACCCTGCACACCCCCATGGAGAGTCATTGATAACAGCTCGGCCGTCGTGAACGCGGAAATACACTGAAGATTAACGGGTCATGTGATGCATTCACGGATGCACACTGCAAAAAAACAAAATTTTCCATGGACAGTCTCCAGACTGCAATTATAAAACGAGTTTAAAAGCATAAATATACCATAAAAGGTACAAAACATGATATGCGATAAATCCCATTTTTTTCTACTATATGCCAATTGCAATTGTTGGCGAAATTTTGAGGGAACAACTACAACAGGAGGAGCGATGGGTTATTACTTTAAAACAACTCTTTCGCTGGAAACAGTAAACCACTTCAATGGAAACAAGTAAAATTGATCTATAATTTAACTGGTTTAAATTTATATCACCAAACAAGAATTCAAGGATGGAAAGGCTACATGACTCAGTGAGACTGACATTTCTTACAGTGCAGGATGAGCAAAGATTGATAATTCTTACAGAGCAGGATGAGCAGCTTACAGCAGCTGACAGCAGGTTAAAGGTAAGTCAGGCCCTATATCCGTGATACAGCCTATAGAGGAAATCTGAGAGGAAGCTCACAATGGAAGAAGTACTTGCCTTTGGAAAAGTAGGTGTTCAACAGATTATAATTTTCCTATTCCCTGAATTTTGGAGCTTGTGGTGTAGCCCCGAGGGCGTTTCCAAATCCAAAAATCATTTCACTCTGTATTCCCATATCGGAACCGTTGTTATAATTCTCTTCTACTGGGTACAGACACTCACCATCGTGTAGTGTCCCAATTATTTTGTGATGTCGCGAGGATTTGTTGTTGATTTAACAAATTATTTGATACAAGCTGTTTGACTCGTGCGTAATTACGTGTGGCATATTCCTCCGTTTTATGACAAAAGATAGTAAATTAACTGGGTTGATTGAGTTAAAAACTACTTTTTTATTATTCGTATTTATTATTATTATTATTATTATTATTATTATTATTATTATTATTATTATGGTCGATTGCCAAGACAAAAATAATGCCTTGGACACATATAAACATAATGAGATATTAACTTACTTTAAAGAGGGGTTATAACTTGTCTTCTTTATTATTTCTTAAAGTCCCCCTCTGATGACAATCAAGTTTTTAACCTTGTTAAAATGTCCATATGATGNATTATTATTATTATGGTCGATTGCCAAGACAAAAATAATGCCTTGGACACATATAAACATAATGAGATATTAACTTACTTTAAAGAGGGGTTATAACTTGTCTTCTTTATTATTTCTTAAAGTCCCCCTCTGATGACAATCAAGTTTTTAACCTTGTTAAAATGTCCATATGATGTTTTTATTATTATTATTTATTCAAGATGTAGCATCAGATGTTAGCTAGCTTTTTAATTCATTTAATTCATCCATCTATTTATTGACATTTATAACTCACATGGTATATTATTCCAGTGGAGGAATCCCTAATTAATGACTTACAATAAAAAACTGCACACTTACTGCTATAACATTAGAATGAATTAGCAACAGTTATGAATGCAGACTTTAGGGCTCACTTTGCTATTAAACTCATGGCTAATTATTGAAGGATGGGACTAATATTTACAAGTTAGTTATTATCACACAAAAACCTTACCGCCAATGTACCTGAGAGGTGTCATGACAGGAAGCCAGAAAGCTACAAGTATTGTAGTACTCACACAGTCCCAGTAGATAGAGCCATTACACAAAGCTAGTAAGACAACCAACAGAGCAGACAAGATACTAAAGGATTCTTTCATTCATTCTACAATGTTTCTTCAGGAAACACTCCAAACCAACTTCTGTGAAACCGTTCTTTTCATCTCCAGTTACTAAGACAATAAAGAGGTCCATCTTATGTCAATAGCTCTGTCTTTGATCTTATAAAGGATCAATCAATTTTCTCTCACCTCATGTTTGTCACTGAGGAAGCTTAAAAGAATCACAAGCTGGGCTAAGTGCCGTCTGCAAAGTAGTTAACGGCCTATTGTTTACTCACATGCCTGATACTTTGTGTGTGCGTCTATATCATTGACTTGATTACATGAAAGACTTTGTGTCCTCTTTGTCCCCTTAGGGTTTGACAAAGCAATGGTAACATAGCTGAATAATCACCACAGTTCAAATATTTGACCCATGTAACAGGGACACAAGAAGTCAGTGTGTTTTTAAAAATTTTTTTAAGGTGTATCATTGAGATGAAACAGTTGTCCTTTCCATGGTAAGGAGATAAAATCAGTTTTTGGGTCATGATTGTAACTGGCTATTGCAGTAATCAGTTTACTTGTCTCCACTCCTTTGTGGTTCTGCCATTTGATCATTGCACAACAGGGCATTTAAAAGAAGTGCAGTACCTGACTGTAAATGAACTGACTTTGCCTCTGATCTGACTTTTTCTGATCTGTAAGTGAGTGCGTCAAATAACCTGTGATTAACTTGGATGTGCTTGGAAGCTGAATTTGGACAACCTCTTCCCTGTCTCATTCCCAGCATTAGAGTGGTAGGAATTTTAGATGTTGCCTAAATACATTCCTGTAGATGATTTGTGGCAACCCTGAAAAAGTACATTTTGTCTCTAAAAGTCATGTACGCTCTCGTCAAGAAGAAAATTATTATGTTGTTACGGTTGGTTTGAGCAACGTTCATGCTCAGTATTATATGATAATTGTAATATGAAGAGTATGAAGAAGACATGGAAATCAAATATGAAATTCTCAATGTAAAAAAAATAAATAAAGCATTAACAATTTTGTGAAACATTTTTCATGTTTCTATACTTTAAAGAAACTGAATAATTGATTTAAAGCTACTATGGTCAATATATACATATACATATATATATATATATATATAACTCTGTGGTATAGTCAACCTGCAAGCTAAGTTCAACACTACAGTGTGTTGCCCATGTAAGGGCATGTTGTACAATCATGAAGCGAAGAGGAAGTGCTCTTTCTTTATTCAGAAAGGGGAGTTAAATGTCACAGGTCACGATCATAACAAACTAATGCCTTTGGACAAAATATTTGTCCTGTTGACTAATCAACCAAATGTCAAGAAATGTCACGCAAGTACCCACAGCCCCTTCCTATTTTGTTTTTTCCTGAATCTCAAAATTCAACCAGTAATTATCTTTCATTCAGCACTCCTATACTTTGCCCTGTAGTGTTCAACCTTCAAAAAAGGACTAAACTGGGTGAAAATGAACACTGAACATCATGTTTGTATCATCTTTCAGCCAGTCTTGTCTTGTCTCCTCTTGACTTGACTGATTAAACTGGATTTATTGGAATTTAAAGGTGTATTTACAGTAAATTACAGAAAAAGCTTTTCTCTCAGGAAACAGACAGTGTTTTGTTTTTTTAAAGCATGCAGTAAGTCGTAAATATTGAACTATTTTCTGTAAATCCTGATAGAGACTTAACTGCTTGTGCTGTTTGTGTGGGTGGGTGGGATGCACTGGTGACAGGGATTTTGTATTTCCACTTAATTGTAGTTTATTGCTATGCCAGTAAAATATATTTTTATGGTTTATGATATATAATAATTGCTAATTACAAAAAATAAATGAAGAGGGTAAGAGGATGTGCACTATGATTTTTATGACTTCAACCAGTCACAACAAAGCTCCGCCTCCACTAGGGAATATTTAAATCCACTCTGTGCTGGCTCTTCCTCAGTGCACTACACACTGGATATCATCACATTCAGGATACAATATACAAGAGAGCCGCCTCACCGTCCAACCACCTGTCAGCCTCCCAGCCGAGCCTCATTTGACCCTGCCACTCAGCCAGAGAGGAAGAGAAGAGGAATCTGAAGACCAAGAGGAAAAAATAACATATTACAAAACCCAGAGAAGCGGAGGGGAGGAAGAAGTCCAGTGCAGCCCCCTGAAGATGATCCTGTGGGTTGCCTTGCTGTCTCACTGTTGTTTGGGTCCGAATGGAGCTGTAGCAGAAAGCACAGGACTGGAGAGGATAGACACATGTGGCACCAGTTGTTCTCAGGTAAATCTGCATCCTTAGAAGCATTAACATCACATGACTTTCACTCAGGTTGTCACTTGACTCCTATTTTCTTATACTACATCACAAGAATTGTGATTAAGTCTACTACTACTACAGCGAAAAATACTGCTTCTCCTCCTTATTATATTGTTTCCAGTGGTTAAAAGAAATACACCCACACTTACAACAACACTGTTCTATTTCTACAGCAACGAAAATACTGTTTCCAGTGGTTAAAAGAAATACACCCACACTTACAACAACACTGTTCTACTTCTACAACAACTAAAATACACTATAAGCACTGCTGCCAACTTGTTTCAAAACTGTTTAAAAAGAAACCAATTTCAACATCGGTATTTTTTTCCTATACAGTTTCTGGTGACAGACCTTTTCAGGTAAACCTTAAGTTTGGATTTCCTCAGTTGCTCTCCAAGCACCAAGAGTCAACCAGTTTAATCAGGATGCAAGCACTCAAGCTATAAAGACGATTCCTGACACAGACACGACTCACCTCTTGACTCACTTGAACATTTGTATAATGACACATCTTTGCAAAGATGAACATGTATGCAACACTGCAAGCAACAAGCAACTGAGATCATCGTAAGGGAGGTGAGCAGTTGTCTAGTTCCTGTAGGGTACTTGACATTTGAAGAATCCCATACGGGCTCCTTACGTAATCATTTACTCGAACCTAAGGAGGAAACAGCTGCAGGTCTATGTGGATGGATAACAAACCATGTTTACTTTTCTCCTCCCTGACTTGAACGGACTCCCAAACACAAGCTGTGTTCACTTTCAAATCATTATCATCATTACCTACGACGTAATGTGAATGACTTCATATACCTTGTGGGACACTGAATACCGCTTGGTCTTTGAATAGAATGATGGATATAATTTAAAACAATGCTTCTTTTAAATAAAGCACTAGTATAAACATGGAACAACTGAGGTATTTTTATACACAGAAAAAACCGAGAAGCACCTGCTCTACGCCATACAAGTCAAAGCATACTCAGTCATCACTTGGTACAGGTAATGTTCACGCATTTCCTGGCAGATGATTAAACAAGGATGTGTTTCACAAAGCTTTGCAAGTGAGCCTTGGCAAATTGCACTCGATGATCCTAGTGATACACGTTGTTGGACGACTTGCATCACCTGTGTGAAATCTTATAGTGGTTCAGCTTAGCACAGACTCTTGTTGTGACTGAATAAGAATGGATTGATGATTCACATAATTTCACTGTAGTATAAATACATTATCACAGGGAAATAGGTTTCTTCACAGGACGGCGACAGACCGCAGCACAGGTAAAAACAAGTTGGGCTTCCCCCCTGAAGGAGCAATGAGGATGTAGAAAGCTCCTTTGTTCTCTTTGTTCAGAGTTCATTTATTGTTTAACAGTTCATAGAAGAGAATCACAGGGTGCTTCATTTGTCTGTCTCTTTATCTTCTCTCCCTGCAGGGCCTTCACTGCAAGACCAAGCCAGATTGTGAGTATAGACATGCACGGCTACTGTATCACACCTGCACTCATGCGTGTACACAGCACGATTCTGCACAATAACTCACCTAAGATTATGCGTGGCTTCCAGGAGTCAATATTGTCCGCATGAAATATTTTTCTCAAAGTTACTTTATCCAAAAAACAAAATTGTTCAGTGCTCACAACTGCTTTGAAAAGACAAAAAAAAAAGTCTATTGTGAGATACCGAAAAATTCTATTGAACAACATCTAACGTTTTTGAGGGTGTGAAAGCAGGATGCTCCATCTGTCACAAGGTAGAAACCTTTAAATACAGAACCACTCGACGTGCAATGAAAGATAAATATCTCATATATTTTTCAAACCGTGCCGTAGAACCTGCGTCGACAGGTTTGTGGGTGTCAGATTAAACCGCTGAACTTTATTCATTAAGCAGAACACATCAACAAAAGGGTTTGAGTGAAGGAGCAAACCAGATGAAGAAAAATTGCTTCTTCTTTTTTTCTTTTTTTTTTCTTGGCTGCCGAGGCTGGAGACTTTTTTCCAAGGAAAGCACACACCCCGAGAGTGATAGCCACAGTCGGACTCCGCAGGCACAGCATACTCAGACCTTGTGTATGACTGCATGCTCCCGAGACAGTACAGGCATACAAAAAAATGAGTTACATTTATAATGTTTTTCTGTGTAGATGTGTTCCGCCCTCCGTGTCAGAACAGTACCGAAGGAATCAACATGTCCTCCGTGTTCCACCACATCAGTCTCTCCACAGTCATGATGTGTGAGGGGAGGCAGAAGTGCTCACTACGCCTCAGAATCAAAACTCTTCTACAACTTACTGGTATGTAAATGCTTGGCTCAAAAAGAGACTTTTCTCCCACAGAGACCAATTTGAGCTCAGGCCAGGGTGAGACAGCTGCTCTCCCAGATTAACTCACTCTCTTTGTATGACTAACGGGAATGATATCTTGCTAGTAGTTACCAAACAGTTACTGAAGCCAGACTGTATCATGTAGATGCTAAATTTATTACGTACATTTCAAGTACATAAAGTGCATAAAGTGAATGCTTTAGCCATTAGTAGCAGGTTCAGTAAATGGTCAGTGCTTTAAAAAAAAAAAAAAAACTCAAATAACTTGGTCTGCATATTTTATTTTGTAGCATGACAGTACATTCTCTATAACTGACCTTTCCCACTCACAGAAGTTGTTATTCAGCTTATTTAACTTTTTCCTATTGAGGAAGTTTTAAATGCAGCTCTTTGATGACAAGCCAAAGTGGAACTTGTCAGAATTAGACATGGTTATCAGTGGTGACACATTCACTAGAATTTACAGATTAAGAGTGAAGGAAGTCTGATTTACAAAACCAACCACTTTCCATGTTCAAACTTCTTCTTTTGCCTTGTGACTGTGTCAGTCAACATGTTCTGTTCCTGATTCTGCCCACAACCGCCCGACCCGACAAGGCGTGTTCGAAACACTAACACTTGCAATTTAACAACCTCCACAAATTTCCTTACCTCTCCGGGGTGGAGCGGGGAAATCCTTCTGACTAACCGTCCACCCAGACAATAAAATGTCTGCATGACACTGACACTAATGCTAACTCATGCTGAAAAGCATTAATAGTTTTTGAATGGTTAACTTACTGTTACCATTTGACTTCTACTTTTTTCCCAACAGAGTCCATCCATGGTTTGTCTGTTTGCACCGTCACTGCAGGGATGATAGTGAACTGCCAAATTTTCAGCTTCACAAGATCGTCACGTGGAAGAATGTCTGGGCTGCAGGTACTGTTAACAGCCCTGTTGTGTTCATTTAATCTAGAGTCTGATGCAAAAACTTTTCTGTTGTAATCCAAACATGTACAACAATTTCCATGATGACATTGCTGAACATGTGACAGCTTATGTGTTTGCATTTGCCCATTTTAAAGGTGGAAGTTGAGAATGATTGCACTGAGGTTTCTCCGAGCCAACAAGTGCAAGTAATAGTCAAAACTGTGCCGAGCTACTGTGGCATATCCTGGACTGGCACCTACGAAACTCCAGGTAAGAACACGTGATGTATATTTGCACAATGCATATGCAAACACTCGCTGACAGGCACTTGATGGTGCGAAAACAGGAAGTACAGAAGCTGAAGTTGAGATGTATTACATAGTAAGAAGTCCATAAATGGTGATGTTTAATCGCCAAAGTGTTTCCTCGTAAATGATAGAAACAGGCAACATTGCAAACACTTTGACCTGCAGTTATGCTAAGATGAGGGTAAATGAGTCACACTAAGAAAATGTAGTGGTTGGGTATTATTATGCAAAAGTTAAAAACGCAGGAGTTATGTCACATTTGTCTTGCTGTTATTTCTCCCCCACGGCGACTTTTAGTCTTCTCAAGTTTTTCTACTTTTCTCCACAGAATGCATGATCGAAGATTTGAGAAGACATGTCCCAGACTGCATCAGTAAGTGCATTTTTTTCTTAAGCAAACTAGGCAATGCATTGATATGTGAAATATACAGTATTTTTGATTATTTTGAAAAAAGCCTTGGCTAGTTATGACTCCTCATTTCAGGATATATGGAGCAATCCTCTTCCTTTTAGTGTTGATTTATTATTGTAGACCTTACTCACACCCCCGAGAGTTCAGGTCATGACAACCACGCATTTTTATCAGTCATTCACTGTTTATTTTCTGTTATGACTGTTAATGTCTCGATGGAGCAATTTCTATCCTCCGTAGCTATGGTAACTAAGGTTTTATAGATACGGATGCTGGGAAAAGCATAACTTAGTGAGAACTGCCCAAATCCAATCCTAGTCAAGGGTGAGTGATGTAGGCAAAGGGCAAGAAACATATAATACTAATAAGGTAAGAACATGTGACAGTGACCAGGCTTAAGTAACAAATAATCTTTACACATATAGATTTAGACTATAGATAAGCCTTATTTAGGTAGGGTATGGAAGAGTGTTGTTCCTAGGAACATACGTGCCCTGTAGGACCGGACATCTTCGGAAATCAGTGTGGCACAGAAGATTTCAAACCACAGCGTGTATACTGTATTAGTCAGCCCTGTGCAATTTAATCCAAGGGGGATCAATCTTAATACATTTTAGAGACCTTAAGAGCTAAATGTACCCAGTGTTCAGAAACCACAACATAGGCGTTGTAATGTAGGCCACTTACGTGTACACGAGTTGAAAATCTTTTTCACTAACACTCACCTCCGTCTCTCTCAGCTGGCAGGCTATCATATGATGTAAACCCAGAGAGGAAGGAGCTGAGCGTCAGCGTGTCAGACATGCTCGAAGATCACAACTACCACCTCCGTCTGTGCTACAAGGGTTTCATTTGTTTTGGCACAGGGGCGAGCACACTGGTCAGTCCCTCTATTCATTGGAAACTAAGAGAATCAGAGAATTTGTTTTTGAAGATATTGAATATGAACTCAGGAAGGGTACAACACATGGTTAAGGGAATACAGAGTCAAAAGCAGCGTGGCTATACTCACTAATGATTTCATGTCAGAGTGTGAGAGTTATTGAAACCCTTCTCTGCCAAGTGTGACTCCAAAAGAAAATGTGGCTGATTAATTGTGTGACTCAAGAATCACCAAGAACCAGCCCAAGTGCACATACAAGCACATACACAAATACCAAAGAAAGATGAATTAATATTACAAAACTTTGTTTGTCTTTCAGATAAAGAAAGAGGAACCTGTAAAAGCTGCCACCCTCCTTTACTCCCGACCTTTGCCGTGCCTCTGCATCGAGGTAGGTCATAGGTTTCTGTCAACTCTCCATTAAGCACATAGGATCCGTTTCAGTGTGTCATAATTTCGGTGAAACATAACATTATTGATACTCATTATGCCTCACAGGGATGGTCAGCTGTGATGGATGCCCCCAGAGTCCAGGTCTGCCCATTCAAAGACCGTGAGTCTCTTGATCGCTTTTAGTCGCCAAAAAATTCAGTAGTAAATGGGGCTGTAGTGTAGTGTGCTGTAGTACTTCAAAACCAGTCCCTATACATGATGTGAAAGATTGCGACTTCCTCTCCCCGCAGGTCTTGAGGAACTGTGGTTTGGAGTCGCCTTTGATCCACTGGAGGAGACGCTATCATGGGAGTCACTCTGTCCGGTTACCGCTGTGGTTGCTTTGTGTCAGGAAAGAGAAGACGGCGTCTGTGAGGATCTGCCACATGCCTCCCAGAATGTTAGCAGAGGGAAGGTACGAGCCTTTAAAGTGTTGTTAAGGTTTCTGGCTGCCAGTGATGGCCGCTGATCACTTAAGCATTAAATCCAAAGGCTGTGTGCGTATGAGTCAACAACGCACAAGATTGATTGATACAAGGCATCCCAGGAATGCCACACAGAAAATAGACAGGATCCAGATTGTGTGATGGTAAAACAAGGAACTACCTCTGAAAACTGACTCATCATGGCACGTTATCAGCAGATAAAGGTGCTGCCAGGAATAATATATTATAATGAATTTGGACATGTCGTGGTGTTGTTGAATGTGGCTGACTGATCAGAATATAACTTGTGATGTCAGGTGTTTACACTCCTCTTCTTCCTCTATGACTAAACTAAGTTTATACTTTACACAGAGGACAGCAGTTATGACGACAGCAAGGTTTTTTTTAATTTTAATTATTTATTTGGTTGAATTTAAAGGTGCCATTAACATTCTGAGAGTGACGTCTGCGGGAGTTACAACAAGTCAAGTTAAACCCACAAGCAGCTTATACAAACAGCTGCTGAACTAACAGTACATTCGCATGAATGAAGCGACAGCCTGCGCACCTGAGAATCCTTAGACGAAAAACAGAGACTGAATTTACATCAGAGATCGTCAGCTGTTTCCATGTCACTTGAGAGGGGAATTCTCTGTTGATATAAAAATAGCCAGTGACGCAGAGAGTCTCCCATCTGAGTCCAGCTGACCTGAAAAGACAAAAACAAGCCTGAACCCAAGCAAAATGAGTAGTGCAGCGTTCAGTTAGTCTGATATAAACTTAAAAACTGCAGGCTTTCACTTGAGAAGTTGTGACACTGCTTCATGTTAATCAAAGTGTTATTTCATCTATAACTATTTTGTCAATCTTTGCTTTTCAGATAACATTTACTGAAGTGGATCCGCACCCTCAACTGTGCATGAAGGTAATGATTACTTTTCCCCCTTTGGCTCTTTAGGAGTGTCGCAGTAGAAAACCCATATCGCTGACATTTTTAGTGGTAACCTAGAGATTGCTCCTCACTTACATGGTAGAATTTAAGAACAAAGCAAAAAGATTTATTTTTTCCTCTGTTTTGGCGTCTGATTACAGTAAGATGTCCTTTCCACTGTAGCAACTGTGCAACATAGATTTAGATAAGAAGATTGAGTCTGTACACTACATACAAGACGACTGGTAGCAACAGATTTGCTATGCTTAGCGCAAATACTGGAAACTGGGGGAAAACGCTAGCATTGCTCTCTCTATGCGTAATGAAAGCCGCGCACCAGCACCTCTAAAGCTTGCTAATTAACAAATTATATATCTATATGTTTAATATGTACAAAAAATGTAGAAAAGTGTAAAAAAAAACAATAAGTTATGGTTTTACTGGGTTTTATGTGGCAGACTATTCCTTGGCTGGGCCAACCAATAAAGTCAACAACACAATAAACACAATACAAGAAACCCAAACACAAACAGTCCATCACGGCAAACCACGACAGAGCCAGGCTAAATGTTTGCCCAATTCCAGTCTTTGTGCTCAGCTAAGCTAACTGTAAGTAGCAAGCTAAGCTAACTGTAACAAGGGCTAAGAGTTTCCTGGCTATCTGCTATTAGGTAAAACATAACTGAAACAGCGCTAGCAGTAGGGTCAAATTACATACATACACACATAAAGGTGCCATGAATGTATTATCTAAGTCTGAGCTCGCAAATAACCTTAATCGTATTTCCCAAAATTGAGTCAGTGCACTGACGTTCATTTGTGTTCATTTCATGTTATTACATCATTGCAGCAGTCATATCTGCTCGTGTTACCGCTATTCCTTTGTGATATTGACAGTATTTGTAAAGACAATTTGATTAATGTAGTGGAGCGGTTATGAGGGGGAAGTTGTGTCCACACCTTAATCCATTCCTGCTAATTTCAACTGTGAGAATTCACTAGTAATCTGCTCCTCAAGCTGTTCACTGGAACTCTTTCTGGGAGCATATTATGACGTGTTACATAGGCTCTAGGAGGCAAAATCTCACTTAAATCTCTTTCTCAGCACTAATGGACACTTTATGTGATGTGCTTTTTACAACTGCTGCTATAATTATATCTTTTATCCTCTTCAGTTTACTGTAGGCTCTCAGTCCTGGACCAGGTGCCCCTTTGCTGGTAGGAGATTCCAAGGTAGACCTTTTTTTTTTTTTAAACTGATTATATTGTCAAGATAATGCAGTATAAAGCATTGTAGAATTGCTCATTATAATGATGAATGTGCAAATCATTTCCAGCATGGGAGGTCGGTGTGACAGGACAACAGGGCCATAAAGTGCTCAAGATTATGTCACAGATGACTGCAACATTTTCCGTGGGGCTGTGTGTGAAGTCTTCAGGGCCTGGTGTGTGCCAGTTGACCAAAACACACCCTGTACATGTGGTATGTTTCACACTCTTGTCAAGACAAACCTCATCTGAATGTATAGCAGATTTCAAAAGAAATTTGGTATTTGATGATAGCGGTGGAGAGCTCTGGGCCCTTTCTTCTAAAATCCAGTGGTGGAAAGTAAAGTGCATTCACTCAAGTACTGTACTTAAGTACAGTTTGTACTTACGTGTACTTACTTACACGTTTGTACATGTTTTACTTGAGTATTTCCATTTTATGCAACTTTATACTTCCATTCTGCGAGTAATGTACTTCCTAGTCCACTACATTTATTTGACAGCTTTAGTTCCTAGTTACTTTTAAGATGAAGATTTTACACAATGGATAATATAAGAAGCTTTTAAAATACAACACATAGTTAAAGATTCATCTTCTCATCTTCTCACATGGTTTAATTTCAATAAATGTTCAAATGATCCAATATCTCAACAAAAATCAACTTTGTTTTTTCTTCTTGACTCTCCCTTTAATCATCTCATGACTCCAGAGATTTATCTGGCGTTCCCAGCTACAACAGTGACATGCTGCTTACACAATGACGCTTACACTTACACAGTATTAATCATCTTCTGATGTCATATACAATAACATATCAGTTAGAGGGGCCCACCCAGTGCTTTCACTATAATACTTTTGTACTGTATTTTGACATTGCTTTATTGATGCATTTACTAAAGCAAATGATCTGAATTGTTCCACCACTGCCAAAATCTGCCAAAGCAGATTCACATCATTTTCATACTCACCAAACCTTTCAATGACCCCTTGTGGCCTGTAGGGATGCATGAAGGAGCTTTCACGACATGCTTGCAATGATAGCATATCATATTCTTGTGTATTTGCTTAGTGTTGTTTGTATTTCTATTTCTGCTGCTGGGATGCACCAACTTTTCTCTAAATTATCGTAACCACAATCAGTAATCAACAAAGCAGTTAGAGGTAATAAAACCTTAAAAATAGCATTTTATAATCTCACCTAGCAACACATATAAAAGCCATATAAGTTGTTCAACAACATGTTTTCCGGCACTATTGTTGCAGGAAACTCATTTGTAGGTCATGGTTGTTGATGAAAGAGACAGTAAAAGCAAAACAGACATGACAATATCTATAACACCTGCACAGTTAAGCTCTTATGGGTTTTTGGTTTCTTTTGTCTCTTTCCCAGGAGAAAAAGAAAGCTGTTGTCTTAAACCTGGCAGAGGAACTATGCAACGCTTGTGTCCAGGTATATTTGTCTAGTTAGATATTAACTCCTCTGAGCCAAAACTGTGTGTTCCGTTACATTTAGACTGACAGTGATTTTGAACGCTGTGTTTGGACAGGTGAAGAGACTCGGCGTGAAGTATGCTGCCACAGTTACGCACTGTCTTGAACAATGCAGTAAGTATGGTTTTTGGGCTACTGCTCCTTACAAACTGGGAGATGAACACTCATATTCTTTTCTCTTCTCTTGGGTTCATCCTGTGTGGCCTATATCTGGCTGGTCGCAACTCTTTCTTTTCTTTCCTTTCTCTGTAAGTAATCACAACCTGGGGCACTCTGGGTCAGTTTGAAATTCAAAGTGAAATGCAAAGTGCATTTTTTTTTTTTTTTAAGTGGTTTGAGGCAGAAATAGAGCTTATGTTTACTGTCTTGGAATGTCTAATGGGATAATCACAAATGCATGTACCTTTGAAGTTTGCCATAAATGGTTTCTTGGCACCATTTGGAAAAATAAAAGGATTCTCTGCACCAGCATCATTTACTCCATTTGAATTTGGAGTGCAATAATGGATGACACCATGTGTAAACATAAGGAGTCTGAAGAAAGTGAATCTCTGATGTGCTGTTCTGAGTTCATTTGCGGTACCGTTTCTTTCATATAAAACCCTATTGAGTGAGTGCCGTGTGTGCATCAGTGTATACACTGTATTGAGGGGAAGTGGGTTCCAATAGCCTTCTTCTGTCTGTGAAACAAAAGAAGATTTTGTCTCCGCCATCTTGAATGTAGCAAATCCCAACAACCGTAACTTCTCTTCACAGATCAGTCCTCACCTCACAGACGTGTCATTGGCAGTCGAACTTCTTTGGACTTGACCTGGGTCGTCGTGCCAGTGGGTGTTTGCCTTTCTGGCGTCATAATTACCGCTCTGGTGCTCCATGTGCTGTTAACCGGTAGGTAGAAAATTACACTATCAAGTTCAGGTGTGCAGTATTTTTCTTCTCTGCTGACATTCTATAATGTAAGCACTTGTACCAAAATTGATTTAGGCCCACTTTCAGCAGTCACCTTTCCAACCCTCAGACTTTGTTGCACGCTCCTGATAAGTAACAGGGCTGGACACTGGAGGAACTAACCACAGTTGTTACTTTTTCTAATGTTAAAAACAGTTATTATGTACTGTATTTTTGTTTCCCTCTCATTGATATCTGATTGAACTGCATGATGTTTAATGGTGGCTATTACAGGTACAAAACACACTGTGTCAGAAATAATTATACACTTGCCTCAGGTGATTACAGTTTGATTTATCACTGTGCCAGAACATGATCACAAGCTTGTGGCCTCCGTTGAACCTGTGCTGCATCTGTAGAAACGATTTGTGTTTGCATGGTGTACAACATTAGTTGTTTGATTATAAGACGGACTAGATATGAACTTAAAGCATGACCTCCTCTGTGAAACACTGGCGTACAGTAGGCAATGGCAAGTACTTTGACTGTATGAGGGAGTGCAAAATGCACAATGACTTGAATGAAAACCAGGCACTGAATTTGTCTATTGGTATATTTCCTCATCTGATTCTCCATGTTTTATTTCAGTGCATCAGAGGAGGAACCAAAAAAGATATAGAAATCAAAAGCAAATAGGTAAGAAAATCACCTCATTAGTTTTACTTTTGTTGTTACTTCCGTTTTCAAATAGCTCACCTACAGCTCAAACGTGACCCTATTATTTCTGTTGTTGTAGATCCTGCTTTTGACTGTGTGGCCACTGCATTACAAACTCACCCCCACGGAGGGATCCTCATACCTGATTCACTGCAGTGTGGGAACACAGAGAAGGCCAACTTAATCTCACAGTAACCAAAAAAGGAATATATGCAATGTTCAACCATAAAGATGTCAAAAAAAAACAAAAACATTTCTCTATTGAAAGTGGTGTACAATGTTTGGATATTGACATTGAGATATTTCATGTTGGTTAGTATGCTTGTTACATTTATTGGCTGTTACAATGTATTTTATTTGTCATTTTTTAAGTTAAAATATTCATTCATCTTGCAGCAAATTTTTTCTAGTTCTATTTTCAATAAAAAAAATTTAAACAAAACTATTGCTTTTTTTGAATGGTAATACAATACACAATAATACTGTTTCACAATATCTTACACAGCAATTCTATGTAATTTTTTGAAGTAATTTTCCATTCACCCTGTTCTCCTGCATTCGACACACCCACACTTTATCAAGCCAACTCCATTCACCTGGTCACACAGCTGCTCCTGATTACACTCACCCCGTATATAAACCCCAGCCTTCCAGTCCATTTCTCGGGCTGATTGCCTGTTGATGAACCTGTTTGGCCCCGACTTGCCTTTATTTATTTATTTTGTCTGAACCCTGGCAATCAAATCAGCCTTCTGACCCTGACTTTGAGAACTGCTTTTGAGACTTTGGGCTTAGTCTATATGTTCCTATGCTGGCTCATTCAGCCAGAGCCTTCAGGTCTACCAGGAAGATTTCTAACAGCTTTTTTTTTTTTTTTTGGATTAACCTGTCAGCTCCAGTTTCTGCCTTGGTAGAAATAAAGGTCTCTACAAACTGTTTTTGTTGTTGTGTGCTGGATTTGGGTCCTACACTCACCCGTTACACTGAGTCAACACCGAGAGCCTCCTCTGGTAGTCACCTTTGTGTTGTCCTGAATTACAGAATTTTTTCATCATTTTGACCGCACCTTGTAGAAGCCTCCTACCAGCCCCCAGAGACAATCCCCTTTGCTATTTAATCTTAGACAACAGTTTCTTAGAAATGAGTGTTCACTGAATTTCCTACATTACTGTAATTGCACACTTGTTCAGACAGGCAAGCATTACTGTGTGTCTGCCGCCACCCACCCCCCCACCACCCCACCACCCGCCTAATTATTAAAGCTGTTAATATCAATTTTTTTATAATTAACAGCGGTTGAAATGACCATACACAATGTGAAAACTATCACTTGTAGTGATGATCAGAGCTTAGATGGAAGGAAAGTGAATATTCATACATTCATCTAGGTGGACAGAGACATCAAGATGTTGCTCTCTATCTGCTGGATGTGCAAATAACTGTTCATAATAACATGTTCACTGTATCAACTGAAAGGTGATGGTAGCAGTCAGAAAAATCAACGACTGCAGGTTTAAATAAAAGCGCACAAACACAAAATAATTCACAGAGATGCACAGTTTTAGGATGAAAATGCAGCTAACTGTGTTTCCATAATTTCATGATCTATTTTAAAATTATGAAACATTCTGTTTGTATATTATTAGCATTTACCTGCAAGTGGATTATGTCTTATTGAAGAACTGTCCATTTGCACATTTTTTGTGACATTTTTGTTGTTTTTCATTCATCACTAATCTAAAACAACCTCAATTTATCAGGCTTTGAACTCAAAGTAAATATTTAACCACTCCCATTAGCTACATAACAAAAGTCTAGTCATACTAGTGTCTCTGCTGTAGGCACAGCGGTGCTTTGAACTGAACGGTAATGTTTACCATGCTCACTATCTTGTTAGCATGCTAACATTTGCTAATTAGCATCAAATATAAAGTACAGCTGAGGTTGATTTTTATAGTTTTGTAAGCATTTGGTCATAAACCAAAGTCATAAACCAAAGTCCTAAGCAGTCGTGTGGTGGTGGCAGGACCAGGTGGCGGAACAATATTGGGAGACATTTCAGGACCAAAGTGGTGGACTGTAGAGCTAAAATAAATATTCATGATACATATTCTTCCATATCACCTTTATTAGATAGGTACTGAGCAAGGTGGGGACATTAAATTTGAGCCAACCCCAGGAAGTACATTTTATGTGTCTTAGCTCTGTTATCTTCATGTCTCTCTGTCATCATTTCATATATTGTTTTTCTTTGGCTCTCACCACATCCAAACTCATAGTCCACTTAAAATATGCTACTAATGTCTGGCCCAATGTGATCACCTCTTACAGGCCCAGTAGCAAATTATATTAGAAGTTCGAAGGGGCTTGGTGCAAGCGTGATGGAAGCCATTTAAACATCCTGGATAGCTACCTGGAATGATGGAAAGCTTCGGTGCTGAGAAAAAGCACATCTTCCTGTCATAGTCTCTTCCTCTTGCTCTTAACCGTGATACCTTCATCTTTTGCAGGAATGATTTCTGCTTCGTTTACATAGACAAATGATGTTGTTCAAAACAGGATGCTTCCAGTAAGAGAACAGTCTCTGTACAGATACTGGCGGCCTGCGGGCTTCTACACGTATAAAATCCAACCAATGAGCAGACTTTCACACGAGGAACTTGTTACTGTAAAATTCTAAATGGGTCAGTCTTTTAGTCTGGGTGTGATAAAAACACATTTCCTTGTTAGATTGGATTTGACTGCGCATTGGAAAAAAAAAATGCATGTAAAGCACCTGGTTAGTTCAATATAAAACAAGGGAGTAAAATAATGGGCTCTTTGAGATGACACAGCTAAACACCTCACAGGAAGTCATCTATGTTCATCTATCTCTTTTCTCAAAGCCTGGATATACAAGGATTGCTTCCTCATAAAGGGGCTGAATCTACTGGCATGAATCATAAAACATGTCCATGTGTGTTCAGGGAAAATTTCAGTGACCTTCATCTGTGTGTTTTTATTAATCATTTCATTTACTCACATGGAGGAACTAATTCAATTTAACAGCCTTGTCATTACAGTACACATCATTATACTTCATGGTGACAAAGCAAAAAATCCTGGAACTGAAACAAAGGTTGCCAAATGTTCCCAACAACTCCTACTCCCTTGCTTAAAGGCCAAGTTCACAGTTTCCCTGCTTGCCATGTCTTGTATTACATGCATGTAATTGCATGTAAGTTTTTATTTGAACACAATTTGGGACACCTGCCAATTTGTTTTTCTTTTTGTACAAGCCCAATACATATTCGATATTTGATCTACTCAACAGGAACATGTCTTTCACAACAGGTTCTCAAACCTGAACGACCATATAAGTGTTTGTGTGTTTTCTTTGTTTCTTTGTTGGTTTTGTCCCTCTGATATGGGATGGAATGTCTACTGAAATAGTGCACCCGACCTTCATTGTCACAGTTACAATAATAAACATGCGGTTAAAGTTGTGGAACGATCATGGTTAAAGGAAAACAATGATGAGTAGTTGTTTAACAGGAAATAAACAGTGGTCTACTCTCTCAAATTGAATCGAAGGCAACTGGACTTGTATTTGTCTGTGGAAGACGTTTCGCCTCTTATCCAAGCGGCTTCATCAGTTCATCATGTATTGGTCTCTCTAGTCCGCACTAGTCTGACCAAGAAAGTGGAGTAGGACCCAGGTATTTAACCTCTTGTGGGTGGGTCCACCAAAGTACCTGTGAAAGTACTGGTTTCACCTGACCATTGTTGTGATCTCATGTGGACGACCGTCGTTAGGGTCAGGTGACCCTGTTGTTATCCTGTGTGAACGACAGTCGTTAGGGTCAGGTGAGCCCCTGGTGGATGACGATCGTTGAGAGTCGTCTGAGGTTATGTTGTTGACTCTCCTGGGTACCGATGAAAGGGCGACATTGTAGATGGGGGATAGATGGTGTCGCAGACCCCCTCCCCTGTTTAGCGATGGCCTCTCCACTTTTACATAGATGGCTTCCTTGACTCCCCTTTCAAACCATCTGTCCTCCCTGTCCAAGATTTTGACATTGCTGTCTTCAAAGGAGTGTGCCTTTTCCTTTAGGTGGGAGTAGACAGCTGAGACAGGGCCTGAAGAGTTTGCCCTTCTGTGTTGGGCCATACGTTTGTTTAAAGGTTGTTTAGTTTCCCCAATATATAGGTCATTGCATTCCTCACTGCATTTGACCACATATATCAGGTTGCTAAGCCAGGTTAAGCCATCTATGTAAAAGTGGAGAGGCCATCGCTAAACAGGGGAGGGGGTCTGCGACACCATCTATCCCCCATCTACAATGTCGCCCTTTCATCGGTACCCAGGAGAGTCAACAACTTAACCTCAGACGACTCTCAACGATCGTCATCCACCAGGGGCTCACCTGACCCTAACGACTGTCGTTCACACAGGATAACAACAGGGTCACCTGACCCTAACGACGGTCGTCCACATGAGATCACAACAATGGTCAGGTGAAACCAGTACTTTCACAGGTACTTTGGTGGACCCACCCACAAGAGGTTAAATACCTGGGTCCTACTCCACTTTCTTGGTCAGACTAGTGCGGACTAGAGAGACCAATACATGATGAACTGATGAAGCCGCTTGGATAAGAGGCGAAACGTCTTCCACAGACAAATACAAGTCCAGTTGCCTTCGATTCAATTTGAGAGAGAGATAACTATGACCTGGACGAATGAGAACATTCACAGAAAGTGGTCTACTGTGTTTTCATGACCCATCAATGGTTTATTTATAGTCTTATATTTCCAGAGCCAATATTTTTAATTTATTGAAGAAAAAAAAATATTGCTAGTTTTGGCAGTCCAATGCTTTGCCCTTGTGTGACTTCCCGCCAGGACTTTTCCGTTCCTCCTTACAGTTTTTTGTGTCACCTGTGGTTAGTGCAGTGGTTAGCTCTGTCGCGTCACAGCAAGAAGGTTCCGTCTTCAAACCTTCTCTGTGCCAAGCTTGCATGTTCTCCCTGTGTCTGAGTGGGTTTCCTCTCTGTACTCCAGCGTCCTCTCACAGTCAAAAGAGAAGGTGGGTGTGAATTATTGTATCTCTGTGTCATCCCTGTGATAGACTGGTGACCTGTCCAGAATGCACCCTGCCTCTTGCCCAGTGTCACCTGGGGGTTGGCTCCAGTCCAGCCTGGTATATTCCTCTGCTTCCTCCCTCATCAACTCTAGTCTGCAGTTTTTAGACCCCGCTCCTTCCCTCCACTTCTTGCCAAATCGCTCTGTGTAAAAACGTGGTATCAATGCTACAGCTGACTCCCCCACTTCTAAGAAAATTCCTTGTGTTGTGTACGATCCTGCCCAATTCTTTTGTTTGACTGTGCTTCAGGGGCATCGCTATGTGACTTCCTGGTTTGCCATCTAAGCTCAGCTCCTTGTTTGTCTCGTGTGCCTGCT